AGGTGCCCAGGGCCTGGATGTTGGCCCAGCTGCGTTTTGCACTTTGCTGTGCTCAAGCTCCCAGCTTCCCTTCCCTTTGGAGCGTGCGCGGGGTGATGCTGTCCTTGTTTGGGCTGGAGCAGGAGGTGCGAGCTCTCTTGGAAAGCCTGGAGCAAGCATCCCTGCCCTAAATCACCCGAGCTGGTGATGGGGGGTGGAAAACCAATGCTGCTGGCTAGCAGTAACCCTGGGAAGCAGCTGGAGGAGGCAGGAAATGAGGCTGAAGTTTGCTCCTGAGCAAGGAATGGGTTTGCAGCTCTCCCGATCCAGCTGGTGCAGGTGACGTGGATGGGCCTGGAGCGCCCGGTCCTGCTCTGCTGCTCGCCCTCTTGGGTGCCTTCGGTTAGCTCGGGGTTTCTGAGCTGGGGATAAGCGGTCTTCACCCCTCCCCTGCCCCATGGGTCTCTGTTGTGTGTGCTCTGAGCCCCACGCCTCGCAGAGGGGTTTGCCTTAGCTCTCGGTGGACATGGGGCTGCAGGCAGCAGCTTCCCTGCTGGAGGAAGGGAGCCTGAGCTCCCAAAGCCAGGAAGCTCAGGGCTCCAGTGGGTACTTGCCTCGGAGCAGGAGGAGCTTGGGGGATTTGGCATGGAGACGAGGGCTTATGAAACTCCCCAGACGCTGCCTTGCTTTGTCCTGAGCTTATCCCCTCAATGCCTGGTGCTAACCAAGCTGTTGAAGCTTCAGTGGCCCTCTTAAGGTGAAGGAAAGGGGGGAGCAGTCAGTTCAGGGCTCTGGATGCTTCTGCTTTGACCTTTCCTTCTTTGTGAGATCTGGAAGAACCCTAAAACTGAAGGCTCTGCGCCTTTTGCCGTAGTCCCTGGGCTGCAATGATGGTCTGCCCTCCCGCAGCAGATGATACCTGCTCTCTTTAACCTCTCTCCTGCGTGGTTATTGATGCATTACGAAGGTGCACAGCGTCCTTGGGCCGAAGGAGTGGTGAAGCAGAGGTTTTCTTGCTCCCCTCAGGGGCTGCTGCTTTCAAGCAAACACGGACCCTTCTCTGCCCCAGAGCTCCCTGGAAAGGGCTCTCGGGCATAGCGAGGGCTTGGCTTTGGGTTCCAAGCAGAGGGGAGGATGCAAACGCTGCAGCCCTGTGTCCTGCACCCTGTCCTGCCCGTGTCCATGTCCAGAGGCTCTGGGTGCCCGCATCAGGTATCCAGCCTCAGGGGGTCCCATCCCTGCCTGCAGCGCTGCCGCAGCACCGGGGTGCCTCTGGGGTCCCTGCCTTTCTTCCTCTCTTCATCCCAGCTCCAAGGCTCCCCTCCCGGCGCCGCAGTCCCTGCTGAGCCCTGACCCGGTGATGGCACGCCGGGAGCAGGGTGCGTTGCTGGTTCTTGTTTAACCAGCCTGCCTTCCTGTCATATCCCCCCTCTCCTACACGTGAAACACGAGACCCTTCCCTGTCCCTTCCCCCCTTCTTCTCCTCCCTCTCCGCTCCATCCAGAAGCTCCTTCCCGTCAGGTCAGTACCGGGCTCGGGTCCCTGGCGCAGCGGCTGCCCCCGATCGAGGCTCGCCACATAAGCAGATTCCCAAAGGATGAGGAGGCAGAAGAGAGGAACCGCGTGTGGTGGCAGGGGAGCGGTGCCGCGCTTTGGAACGGGCTGTGTGGGGTTGGCCTGCGTTAGGGAGCAAGCGGGTGGGAGTGGGAGCAGGGACGGGGATGGGGAAGGGGGCTTTGTGCGTCGCTTGAGGTGTAGCCGCTGCATGGGAAGGGTGGGACAAGTGCAGGGATGGGCACGAGCAGCGGGTGCTGCTGCAGAAACCCCATCGGGGGGGGTGCTGGGGCTTTGCTGCCCATGACGCTGCTTGTCGTTGCCTGCTTCCTTCACCCCAGGAAGCAGGAGGTAATGCTTCCTCCCCGCCGAGGAGGAGAAGAGGGCTCGAGGGAGATGTGATTCCATGTCCGTGGATCCACGGATTTGAGTTTTGGATCCACGGACATGGCATTAAATGAAGATTTCTAATGTGCAAGAAGTGTTCTTAATGCTGACCCGTGTTCCCATTCTGACCTCATGCAGAGCTGGGTTTGGCCTCTTCCATCTTTTGTATTAGCAAGACTAACCCTGGGTAGGTGACAGACTGAGTCCTGGTGCGACAGGAGAGGGTCCTGGGCTGGGTGCAGGGCATTCACATCACCCCGTGCCTCAGTTTCCTCATAGGGACCAGGGGCTAAACCCCAGCTGTGTCCAGAGCGTGAGCTGGTGCCCACCTCCCGCATCTCACTCAAGAGGGAAATGCTCTTGGAGATGGAGAGAAGTCCTCTTGCAGGTTCAGCATTCGATTGACGGCAGCGCATCCTGTGTCTTCTGAGCCAGCAGTCCTGTGCGGTTCCTCCGTGGCTTGCTGTCAGGTTACTAAGAGCTCTTAAAACCCTCTCATCTCTGAAATCTTGGGTGCTTTTGGCCTTCCTTCGGTCTGGACGGTAAAATGTCACTGTTGTGTGGCACTTCAACATGGCACATTGCTTCCAGGAGCTGCTGGCAGGAAACGCTCCTTTTTGGAGCAGCCCTGTGTGTGGTGCAGCAAGACACTGGGATTAACCCATCTAACAAACCCCACGCCTCCTGGAGTGGTTTTCTCCTGCAGAGCCACTGCTGCTTATACCCACTCTAGGCAAAACTCATCCAAGCTACGTTTCTGGTCCCAAATCGAGGGGCATCCGCGCGTTCATCTCACACCATCTCTTGCCCACGGTATCCAGGCAGCAGCTCCGCGGTCTCCGTGCTCTGCTCCCATTGCCCATCCTTAGACAAGCGCCCGGCCCCTGGAGAGAGGGGAAGGGGCACAGATGAGTGCTGTGAGAGCGGGGCTCCCGGGGGCTTTTCCTTCCTCCTCTCCACCTGCCATGGAGCATTTGGAGAGCCAGAGGAGGCCCTGACATGGAGAAAAGCTGTGCCAGGTGCTCTGAGCTTATTGCTGGGGGAATCGGCTCCATCCTCCCCGCTGCAGGGCCTGCACCGGGGGCCAGACTGCGTGACCCCGGTGCTCATTGCAAACAGTTGTTCTCACCGGGGATGCCTCTGCGCTAAAGGAGCTTTTTAGCAGGGGATCAGCTCCAGAAGGGCTCCGGGAGGAGACGAGAGGCCGGGGGAGCTGCTCCTCATCCCCCCCTTTCTGCAGGTACCCATGGCAGGGCCTTTTGGACCCACGGCTCTTGGGTGCCGCGGGCGGGCGCTGGGACAGGCTCTGTCACAGCATTCCCTCGGTGCCTCCGGAGCCCATCCGTGGGGCTGGAGCGGGGCCGTTCCCGCTGCCTTTGGGCCCAGGATCCCTGCCCGCGGGAGGCGAAGCCCAAAGCCACCCTAACCCTAGCGCAGAGGCAGGCTCTGGGAGGTGGCTCCGGCGCAGCACGGCCCTGCCGGGCGCAGGAAGGGGAACAGGAAAAGCACCTTTTAAATATAGCAACTGCTTGCAGCGGGCCTGCTGTCCTTCCCCACGTCTGGCCTCTTCTGCCCGAGCGGAGCGGTCCCCTCCTGTCCTGACCCGCTGCTCCCATCGAGGACCCAGGCCTGGCGCGTGGAACCTCCGCTTCCTCCTGCTCCTTCCTGCAAAGCTGGTGGGGTTTCATTGCCTTTGCGGGGCTGGGGAGGGCAGCAGCCCCAGCCCTGCCTCTTGCTCCTGCTCTTCTGAAGGGCACAAACCTGACCGTGGTGCTGCTCGGAGCGCGGCCTTTGCTTGTGTGCCGGTGCTTTGGTTTGATGGCAAACCCCGCGTGCTTGCCTGCCCCATCTTGCCTTTTCCGGGCCGTCTTCGGCTTCAGCGGAGGCTGAAGTGCCAGCAGACACCCCCCCTTGGGCAGGAGCCATGTGGGCACAGAGTCACCCCCGTGCATTTTCAATGTCAGGGTCGCTGTGGGGCAGCTCTGCTCCGTGCCCCACAGACCCCCCGCTGCACCCAGGGCGATCCCTTTGGGGTGATGGAGGGTGAGGGTTAAAGGTAAAGCTAGGCTAAGCCTCCTTCCCGAGCCGGCCGTGGGGAAAAGCAGCCGGGTCTGCACAGCCCTGCTGAGCCGGAGAGGGGTTTGCAGGGTACAAACTAAGCCCAAACCACCCGTGAGAGCAGTGCCAAGGCTGGTTCCGGACCGTTCAGCCTCCACACTGCTCTGTCACCAGGTGCTTGTGCTGCAGGTGTTCGAGGCCAGGTTGGACAGAGCCTTGCCTGCCCTGCTTTAGTGGGAGGTGCCCCTGCCCATGGCAGGGGGTTGGAACTGGCTGATTTTAAGGTCCTTTCCACCCCAAGCCTGGTCGTGGCTGTGCAGGGTACAGGCAGGCTTCCTATGTGCGGGTCTGCTGCCCTGGCCAGCCGTGTCCAGCTGCTCCCGGGGCATCCCCTGCCCTCCTGCCTCCTTTGCCTGGTTGCCCTTGTAAAGCAGAGCCTTTCTGCTGCCTAAGCCCCGCAGCTTAATCCTGGGATTTCTTAGCCAGCCTGCAGCAACAGGAGGAACATTATTCCCTTTGTCTGTGCCGCAGCCATGTTTTCAAACCTGTTGCTACGTCTCTCAGCCTCCCCTCTTCCTCCATCCTTTGCTCCACAGCCCACGTGTTCGAGGGCTCTTATCTGAGCCTCCCTGTTGCCGTCTGGAGCTTTTCCTTGTGAGCGGGGGTGGCCTTGGAATGGCCTTGCTGCTGTTGGGGGGGGGGGAAGGACGGTCCCTGCGTCATGGTGGGTGCCTCTGTAAGGAAGAGTTTGCTGCGTGCAGCCCCTCTGCTTTGCTGCAGGCTGCTCTCACCGTGCCGCAGAGCCCCTTGCCGCGCTGCATGCCCTGGTCCTGGGCGTCTCTTGCAGGGCGCTGGGGTCCTTGTCACTGGGATCAAAGCGTTGCACAGAAGCAAAGGGAGAAAGGCCCAGAAGTGGGTCTGAGGGGGTGCGAGGCTGGGTGTGGGGGGGAAGGCAGCAAAGGGCTCTGGTGCTTAGCGTGGGGCTCAGGAGCAGCGAGTTCCCATCCGTGCCTCTGCCGGCTTCGGGCCACGGTGCTAACGCTCCTCTCCTCGTCCTGTTGCAGACCCTGCTCCATTCCTCACCATGGGTGACATGAAAACTCCGGATTTCGATGACCTGCTGGCAGCTTTTGATATTCCTGACATTGACACCAACGAGGCCATCCATTCCGGCCATGAGGAAGCCGATGCTCACATCAAGCAAGTCCCTGGAGAGCCGGGCCCCCCTGACCACGTCCTGCCCCACACGGACATCACCGCTGTCAGCGTGATCGTGAAGAACACGGTCTGCCCCGAGCAGCTCGACACCCTGGACGGGCGCAGCAAGGACGGGCACGTCATCGGCTCCCGCTTGCTGCAGAATGGCTTTGGGGCCACTGAGATGCCCAGGTCCCCCCCCTCCAGGTCTGTGGAAGCTGTAGCCTCCTCCAACGGGGAGTGCTGGGTGAAGGAGAAAGGCCCCAAGCCCCTGGATATCTTCTCCCATTTTAGCCCCGATCCCAATGAAGACAACGCTGCCAACCTGATCGACAGACCCCGGGAGTGCAAGGCGAAAGAGAAGTCCCTTGCCGTGCCCTCCCTCTCCCCATCTCCCACCCTGTCCCTGGACTGCAAAGAGCCCATGGGGGAGAACCCGGAGAACCTGCCCCCTGCTTACCCGCAGGCCTTTGAGAGCGGCCAGGCCAGGGGTGCCAGCGGGTCCCCTTCTGCCATCTCCCGCATCAAGAAGGAGGAGTCTGACTCGGAGGATGTGGGCCGCGAAGCCAGTCCAAAGGGTTTGGCTGCAGCCCTGGGGGACAGCCCCTTGGAGCACCTGAAGTCAGTCACCGTGCGCTACGCCGCCGAGGATTCTCCCATCACGTCCTGGCCTGGATCTGACCCAAACCTGGACAGCAGCACCAGCAACCTTCCTGAAGTGAAGCACTCGCCCGCCAGCCCCCGGGAGCCGTTCTTCAAGCCTTCCTCTCCGGTGGTGCAAAGCCCCAGGCTCCCCCCGTCTCCAAAGCACCTGGACAGCATTGCCCTCAAGGAAGAGCACGAAGTTCTGGACAAGTCCATGGGAAGCCCGCAGAGCATGTCCAGTGCTGAGGAAGAGGAGGAGGAGGAAGAAGACAACACCAACGATTCCCCCTCCTCCAACTCCTCCCGGCCCCTGAAGGTGCGGATTAAAACCATCAAGACGTCTTGTGGCAGCATCACCCGCACTGTGACCAGGGTCTCCTCAGATTCCGAGCCTGGCTCCACCAAGGGGCCCCCTGAGCACAGCTCTCAAGAGACCTCTCTGGAGGGCGCCAGCTTCTCAGCATCGGCAGACAAAGAGGAAGGGATCGTGCTGGAGGTGTCCAAGGACAAAATGGAGCTCTCCAGCCCCTTGAAAAGCACGGAGGGGCCCAAAATCGTCAGTGTTCAGCTGGGCAACGGCACCAAGCTCAAAGGGACTGTCCTGCCCGTCTCCACCATCCAGAACGCCAGCAGCGCCATGCTGATCGCCGCCAGCGTGGCTCAGCAGAAATCCATGGTGCTGCCAGCAAAGACGGGTAAGGCCGTGGCCAAGAACATCATCAACCTGGTGCCGCAGACCCTGCCCAAAGCCGACACCAGGACCAACGTCAGCACCGTGACGCAGACCGGCACCGTCACCACCACGGCCAACCAGAAAGTCAACGGCACCACGGTGGTGATGGTGCAGCCGCAGAAGCCTTCCCCTACCCTTGCAGGCACGGTCATTTCCCGGAGCCAGTCCAGCCTCGTGGAAGCCTTCAACAAGATCCTCAACAGTAAAAACCTCTTGCCAACGTACAAACCCAACCTGAACCCCCCGGCCGACGCCAGCCTCGCGCTGCCTCCCTTCGGCTACCGCTGCCTGGAGTGCGGGGACGCCTTTGCCCTGGAGAAGAGCTTGGCTCGCCACTACGACCGGCGCAGCATGCGCATCGAGGTCACCTGCAACCACTGCACCAAGCGCCTCGTCTTCTTCAACAAGTGCAGTTTGCTGCTGCACGCCCGCGAGCACAAGGACAAGGGGCTGGTGATGCAGTGCTCCCATCTGGTTATGAGGCCCATCGCCCTGGATCAAATGATCGGGCAGCCCGACATCACCCCCCTGGTCTCAGTGACCTCCTTCCCGGCTAGCAAAGTGACTGGTGTGGCTCAGGATGCCTTGGCCACGGCCAACGGGGCTCAGGACCTCCCCATCCTGCCTCTGAGCAACAGCTCAGAGCAGACCAACTACAGCTGCTTCAGGTGCCTGGAGTGCAAAGAGCAATGCAAAGACAAAGCCGGGCTGGCCGCGCATTTCCAGCAGGCAGTGACCACGGGGACAAGCAGCAGCACGGTACGTGGGTGGGAGAGCGGTGAGACCCACGGCAACCCATCCCCGGGGATGTGGGGCAGACGGGGGGGGGGGGCTCCAGATGTGATGCAGGCAGCCCCTGATTCCTCTCCATGTAAAACTCATGCAGGAAGGAAAACCCAGGAGGCACGGGGTGGAGGGCAGGGAGGCTGACAGTAAACCTGCCCTGGGGGTACAGGAGTGGGGTGCAGCAGGGAGGGATGAGCAGGTCCCCGAGTGCTGATGCCCTGCGGTCTGGCCCCCAGTGCAGGACAGAGCCATGTTAGAGCAGCGGGTGCTGCTTCCTCTTTCGATGGCTTGAAGCACAAATGGAGCCTGGAGAATGCAGGAAGGGGTGTGCTGGGAGGGGGGTTTCCCCCCCTTGTTTCTGGGTCAAACTTGGGATCCTGGGTGCTTCCTGCTGCTGCCAACACATCCTGGTTTGTTGGGACAGGCAGCATCCAGCAAATACACCGCCGAGGGGTGACCTTTAAAAGGCAAGGAGGGCAAACAGGTCCAGAGAGGAGCCCTGTCCTCCCTGTCTCTTCACCTCTCCCTTTGTGCAGAGAGGCTCAGCCCCCTTGGCTTTCTTTGCACAGAAGGAATTTGCTCCTGGTTCCCTGGTAACCCTGCTCAGGTTGCTGCCGTAGCCATGGTGCTGCTCAAATGCAGATATGAGGGCCCTGCTCCAGAGGAGGGCTGCTTTCTGTCTGAAGGTCATCGGGAGCCCTGAGGTTTACGTGCTTGTATGATTATCCCAAGGACCTTGCCTTTAACAGGGGAGGATTTCTTCCTCCCATTCCCTCTCGTAGCCTTGGAGGGGATGGAGCTTGAGCCGGGCAATTCAGTGGGAAGCTGCTGTCAAGGCAAAAGCTCTTCCCAGGCTCCCCTTAGCCAGAGCAGCTCTGTCCCTGTACCCAGCAGATGGCCTCCTCCCTGCACCCACACCGACTAAAACCAGGAGCTGTTCCCTTCTCCAACAAACCAAAAGACCCGGAGGCTTCCTCAGCACAGGGAGGGATGGGGAGGCTGAAGCCATAAATCTCCATAATCCTCACCTGCCACCTTTCATTCCCTGATGCCCCCCCCCGGTTCCTGCCCCATCTCAGCCTGTCTTTGGCTGCTGTTACCTGGCTGGTTTCTTGTTCCCTCTCGTTGCTTTGCTGCCAGATTCACCCTTGGGTCTCTCTGGGCAGTGCTCTGGCCCCTGGCCTCGTCGCAGCCGCGTGGCTGGGGCTGCTCCTCTCCTCACCCCACCTCTGCGCTGGGTACCCCATCTCTCAGGGCAGCTCCTATTGGAAGCTCATCCCCTCAAGTCCTTGCCAGCTTCTCCCATTGAGAGCCCCGTGGCCGTATCCTGGTGTGGGGTTGAAGCAGTTTCAGGCTGGTTCTGGCAGCTGCTGGGAATGCAGCCCAGGAATAGTAGGAAAGCAAAGTATCTCCTACAATGTAGGAGCAAAGCATTAGGAATACTGTTAGGGATACCAGCAATAGCAGGAAAGCAAAGTATCTCCTAAAATGTAGGAGCAAAGTGTTAGGAATACTGTTAGGAATAGTGGGAAAGCAAAGTATCTCCTAAAATGTAGGAGCAAAGCGTTAGGAATACTGATAGGGATAGCAGGAATAGCAGGAGAGCACAGCATCCCCTAAAATGTAAGAACAAAGCAATAATAGTAGGAAAGCAAAGTATCTCCTACAATGTAGGAGCAAAGCATTAGGAATACTGTTAGGGACATCAGGAATAGCAGGAGAGCACAGCATCCCCTAAAATGTAGGAGCAAAGCATTAGGAATACTGTTAGGGATATCAGGAATAGCAGGAAAGCAAAGTATCTCCTAAAATGTAGGAGCAAAGCATTAGGAATACTGATAGGGATAGCAGGAATAGCAGGAGAGCACAGCATCCCCTAAAATGTAAGAGCAAAGCAATAATAGTAGGAAAGCAAAGTATCTCCTAAAATGTAGGAGCAAAGTGTTAGGAATACTGTTAGGAATAGTGGGAAAGCAAAGTATCTCCTAAAATGTAGGAGCAAAGCATTAGGAATACTCTTAGGAACATCAGGAATAGCAGGAGAGCACAGCATCCCCTAAAATGTAGGAGCAAAGCATTAGGAATGCTGTTAGGGACATCAGGAATAGCAGGAGAGCACAGCATCCCCTAAAATGTGGGAGCAAAGCATTAGGAATGCTGTTAGGGACATCAGGAATAGCAGGAGAGCACAGCATCTCCTAAAATGTAGGAGCAAAGCATTAGGAATGCTGTTAGGGACATCAGGAATAGCAGGAGAGCACAGCATCTCCTAAAATGTAGGAGCAAAGCATTAGGAATGCTGTTAGGGACATCAGGAATAGCAGGAGAGCACAGCATCTCCTAAAATGTAGGAGCAAAGCATTAGGAATGCTGTTAGGGACATCAGGAATAGCAGGAGAGCACAGCATCCCCTAAAATGTAGGAGCAAAGCATTAGGAATACTGATAGGGATAGCAGGAATAGCAGGAGAGCACAGCATCTCCTAAAATGTAGGAGCAAAGCGTTAAGAATACTGTTAGGGACATCAGGAATAGCAGGAGAGCACAGCATCCCCTAAAATGTAGGAGCAAAGCATTAGGAATGCTGTTAGGGACATCAGGAATAGCAGGAGAGCACAGCATCTCCTAAAATGTAGGAGCAAAGCATTAGGAATGCTGTTAGGGACATCAGGAATAGCAGGAGAGCACAGCATCTCCTAAAATGTAGGAGCAAAGCATTAGGAATGCTGTTAGGGACATCAGGAATAGCAGGAGAGCACAGCATCCCCTAAAATGTAGGAGCAAAGCATTAGGAATACTGTTAGGGATACCAGGAATAGCAGGAGAGCACAGCATCCCCTAAAATGTAGGAGCAAAGCATTAGGAATACTGTTAGGGATACCAGGAATAGCAGGAGAGCACAGCATCCCCTAAAATGTAGGAGCAAAGCATTAGGAATACTGTTAGGGATACCAGGAATAGCAGGAGAGCAAAGTATCTGCTAAAATGTAGGAGCAAAGCATTAGGAATGCTGTTAGGGACATCAGGAATAGCTTGAGAGCACAGCATCTCCTAACGCGTGCCCTGCAGAGTCCCGGCACCTCTCCCCCGTGGCCGCGCGCGGCTCGGGGCTGCTGTGGGTGTTGCAGGTTGTTCCCCCTCCAACCCGCAGGGTTTGTGACCCTCTGGCCGCTCTTCCCCCGCCAGGTTTGCACCACGTGCCCCATGATCATGTCCAACCGCTGCAGCTTCAGCGCCCACCAGCGCATCCACAAGAGCCGCCCGCCCCACGTCTGCCCCGAGTGCGGGGGGAACTTCCTGCTGGCCAACTTCGAGGCGCACCTCAAGGACGCCTGCCTGCACTTCTCCCGCAGAGTGGGCTACAGGTAGGGCCACGGCCGGGGGGAGCACCCACTTCCCTTATCCCCACCGGGGCTGGGTGCAAGGCTGAGGGTGCCCGGGGAGCTCGCGAATGCTCCATCCCTGGCGGTGTTCAAGGCCGGGTTGGACAGAGCCTTGGGTGCCCTAGTTTAGTGGGAGATGTCCCTGCCCGTGGCAGGGGGTTGGAACTGGGATGATCTCAAGGTCCTTTCCAACCCAAACCATTCCCTGGTTCTATGAACCTTTTGCTTTACCCCTTCCCTGTCTCTCACCCCTTTAACACGGGGAGGAATTTCCCTCTTCCTGGGGCCTGCTGGCCATCGTTTCACCTCATGGCTGGCAGCATCAGGTCCCCCCAGTGATGAGCACTGGTTGCTCCTAACTGGAATTTCCCCAGAGCCCAGAATTGGTTTGGATTCTGCTGTCCTTTGGGGCAGGGCCTCATCCCGAGTCCTAAAGCTTGGACAAGGAGCAGGCGTGGGCCCCGGTGCTCCCGTGTCTCTCTGCTGTTGGCCCTCGGTGTGTGGCAGCCTCTGCAGCGCGGCTCCTCCTCTCTGCAGGTGCCCCAGCTGCGCCGTGGTCTTCGGTGGGGTCAACTCCATCAAGTCCCACATCCAGACCTCCCACTGCGAGGTGTTCCACAAGTGCCCCATCTGCCCCATGGCGTTCAAGTCCGCCCCCAGCGCCCACGCGCACGTCTACACGCAGCACCCTGGCTTCGGCAACCAGCAATCCAAGTAAGTGCTCCCTGAGATCACCCCTAACAAGCCATAGGATGGGGGCGGGTTTAGATGGGGTATTAGGGAAAATGCCTCCACCAGCAGGGCCGTCGAGCACCGGAACAGGGCTCCCAGGGAAGCCCTTGAGTCCCCTCCCTGGAAGCATTTAAAGGACGGGTAGATGTGGCACTTAGCGACATGGTTTTAGTGGCACTGCTGCCTTCATGGCTGGATTCGATGTTTTCTAACCTAAAGGATTCCATGGTTACAAGAAGTGGGAGCATCCTGGGTTGGGGGGCGCATTGGGGAAGAGCTCAGCACCAGGATGGGGGAGCTGCATCTGTCTCCTTTTCACTTTCCCATCCCTTGGCGTGGGTCAGGCTGCTCCCAGGGCTGCTTTCCACCCTCTTGCTCCTCCTGCTGCGAGCCCGGGCTGTGCCAGCAGTGGTTTTCTTTCCCCCTCCCCACAGAATGATTTACAAGTGTGCGATGTGCGACACGGTTTTCACCCACAAGCCCCTGCTCTCCTCCCACTTCGACCAGCATCTCCTTAACCAACGGGTCAGCGTCTTCAAGTGCCCGGACTGCCCGCTGCTCTTCGCCCAGAAGCGCACCATGCTGGAGCACCTTAAGGTAACAACGCGTGTTCCAGGAGAGCTCTCCCTCACCGGGGCTGGCTGAGGCTGGGTGAGGGCTCCCAGCGCATCACTGGTGCAGCAGGACCCTGACACCTGGTTCCGTTTGTCCCCCCAAGCCTGAGATGAGCCCGTCTGTGCGGGATGGGGCCTGGCTGCGGGCTCCTTCTTAGCCCACTGCAGTGCTGGGGAAGGGGTTAGGGGGAGGAAATCCCAACCCCAAACGGCTGCCGAGCCCTTTCCTTTCCAGAACACCCACCAGCCCCAGAAGCCCAAGGAAGACCTGGCAAAGAAGGCGGCCATCCTGCTGACGCCGAAGCAGGAGCCTCTGGAAACGCCCGTGTCCAAGATCTCGGAGTCGTCGTCGTCCTCCACGGAGGAGGACGAGCCCCCAAGCTCCCCGGAGCTGCGCAAGACCAAGCGGAGCCGCTTCCAGCGCAAGACGGTCAACAAGTCCAAAGGCAGCGGCTGGACGTGCGGCGTCTGCCACTCCTGGTTCCCCGAGCGCGATGAGTACGTCTCCCACATGAAGAAGGACCACGGCAAGGTGAGGAGGAAACCTGGGCTCTGCTTCCGGCTTTGCTGAGCCCTTTGGGAACGCGGGCAGGGGCTGCTGAGAGCGCAGAGCAGCGCGGCGGGACCCCAGGGCGCACGATCTGCCCGTCACCCCAATAGGGACGCAGTCAGGGCTGGGTTTTGGGGAGCAGAACCCAGGTACTTGTTACGCAGGTGCGCAGCGTTGGGACGGGCACGGAGCAGTGAGCGGGAGGCAGCACCGAGTTCCCACATCCGGCTTCTCCCATGGGAACGCTGCTCCGGGCCCCCCAGCGCTGGACCCCCCCTGCCTCTTTGTCTCTTGCAGTCGGTGAAGAAGTTCCCGTGCCACCTCTGCGAGCGCTCCTTCTGCTCCGCTCCCAGCCTCCGGAGACACGTGCGAGTGAACCACGAAGGGATCAAGCGCGTCTATCCCTGCCGGTACCCGACGGGAGGGCTCTGCTTGGAGAGGGGTGGATTTGGTGCTCCCCGCTCCAGCCGGGCTGGGGTGCAGAAAGCTACGGATGAATGAAGCACGATGAGGGTTGAGCCAGTGTCTGAGTAGTGCTGGGGGTCCGGATACCGGAGCCAGGCCTTGGTGGCTGCCCCGTTGTGCTGGAGCAAGCGTGGGGCTCGGCTCCTCGCTGCAGGGCATCACTTCATTGCCTCCTCGCTCTGGCCCTGCAGGTACTGCACAGAGGGCAAAAGGACCTTCAGCAGCCGGCTCATCCTGGAGAAGCACATCCAGGTGCGACACGGGATCAAGGTGACCGACCAGACCAAGAGCCAGGAGGTTGTTATCGCCCGGATAGGGACCGGCCCCATGCAGGTACGAGGTCCCTGCGGTCCCGTGTTAGGGGTGTTTGCAGAGGGCTGGGGCCTTGCGGAGGTTTTGGGCATCTCCGTGAGGCCCGATCCTGGTTTGTGCTTCCCTCCCCGTGTCCTGCGGTGCTTGGGGCTGGCAGCTCCCTCCCACTGCGAGGCCCTGCTCCTGCCTGGGCACAGCTGAGCTCCTGCCAGCGCACTGGGGGCTGAGCTTGGCCAGCCCAGCCTCTCACTGCCTGCAGGGAAGGGAACGCAGACGCATCCCAGCTGCCTTCAGGCTGGCTCAGGAGCTGCCCCGGTGCGAGGGGCAACTCCGAGGCTGCTGCGGGAGCCCCGCTCCCGGTGTGGGGCAGGAACGACCCCTTTGGCCTTTACCCAAGCAAATCCCCCTTGGAAACCCCGGAGCAGGTTGGGTTAGGGCAGGAGCTGCTCGAGTTGCCCCCCACACCCCGTTACAGCTTCCGTGCCCCCTTCCCGCAGGCGTCCGGTCGGAAGCGGAAGCTGTCGTCGGATGAAGGCGATTCCTGCAGCGAGGAGCCCGACAGCACCACCCCTCCCTCCAAAAGCTCCAAGGGCGACCGCAGGGCCCCGTTGCGGTGCCGCAAGTGCGGGTACCTGGCCAGCAGCTCCGCCGACTTCCAGGAGCACATCCCCCAGCACCGGACTGACGAGAGCTCCCACCAGTGCCGCGAGTGCGGGCTCTGCTTCACCTCCCAGGTCTCCCTCAACCGCCACCGCTTCATCACCCACAAGAAGAAGAAGGGAACGGGCGAGCTGGAGGAGCCGGGGCCCCGGAGCCCGCTGGAAGGAGGAGCGCCGCACGCGGGCGACGGGAAGCTCTCGTGCAAGGTGTGCGGGCGCTGCTTCGACAGCCAGCTCAACCTCAAGACCCATTTCCGTACCCACGGCATGGCCTTCATCCGGGCCAGGCAGAACGCGAGCCCCGAGAACTAGGGAGCGCAGGCAGCGGCAAGGAGACGTGTACATAGCGAGCAGGGGGCTCCCTGCCTGCTCCTGGGCAGCGCCTCAGCATGGGGCTGGATGAAAGAGCCGTGAAGAGAAGAACCTGGCTTGCACAGCAGGGCCTGGCTCGGGGCGCCCGGCTGCATCCCCCAGGCTGGGGGACTCGGGCTCCCCCCCCACCCCTGGTTTGGGGGCAGGAGGCAGGGATTCACTGGGCAGGAGATGAGGGGCAGAGCTGGGATGCGTGGCCCTGCTGTGGGGAGAGCACCGGGCTCTCGTGGCTCTGTCTCACGGGGAGGGACAGCTCCTTCCTTCCACAGGGATGGGGAAGGGAGGAGGCCGCCTCCCACCCTGTTTGCACACCGGGGTCGCTGCTCTCCTCTGCACTGGGGGGCTCTCTTCAGCCCTCCCATCTGGGTTGTGCCGCGATGGAAGCGGAGCCTGGTTGAGGCCAGGGACCAGGGGAGACGTCTCCATGGCAGGACAGAGGCGGCTGCGCCGGGAACTTGGCACAGCAAAATCCACCTTTTCGTTCGGTTTCGGTTGGGTTTTGGTTGCTTGGGGTCGGTTTCTTTTCCCTTTCCCTTCTGAGTGTTGCTTACTCCCCATGTTGCTGGAGCGGGGCAGGGTTGGGGGGGAGAAGCCGAATCTGGCCCCTCCTTGGCTCCGTTCGCCTGCCACGAGCACGAGGTTCCTCTTCACCACCCCTGGCACTGACTTCACCCGCTCAGCGCTTCGTGCCGCGGCACAGCCCCAGCCTGCACCTCCCCTTCGGCAGCAGGACAAGAGAAGGGGCTCCGGGCAGGATGAGCCCCACGGCAGCACCGTCCCTGCCCCACGGAGCTGCACCGGGTGCAGGATCGGTGCCGGCTGCTGCAGAGAGGGAAAGGTGCTGCCAAACCCCATCACAGACTGAAACAGTGGGGCCTGGGGGGGGGGGGGGGCTTCTCTAAGGGTGCTGCTGCCCCCCCCCAACCTCCTGCCCTGCTCCCGGCACCACCACGGAGCAGCCTCACCCCCTCCTTTGCACTGGGAACAGTGGCACCGGGGATGGGGGGGGGTCCCTCCCGCATGGGGCTCCCCCCTTCCCCATAGAAACTACTGGCAAAGCCCCTTCCTCCTCGTTCTGTTCGTGCTTGGGGTGTTCGTGTGAGTCCTCTCCTTGTGCGTGCCCCCCCCCCCCGATGCGGTGTAAAGCTGTAGCACCCACTAAAGGTGACACCACCACCCCACCCCCCCCCCCCACCGTTGTGATTTGGGGTTGGCGTTGGTTTCATTCCTTAGGGGAGGGAACACGGGGTTTTGGGGGGGGGGGGGTGGTGGTCTTGCGTTTTCTTTCTTTTCCTCTATGTTTGATGTGCAGGAGGTGCCCCCCCCCCCCCCAAGGTTCAGGTGGATTCAATTCATGGCACATGGGGGGGGGAGGGGGAGGAAATAACCCAAAAATCAGCTCCTACAGCCCCCCCCCCCCCCGGTGTTTCGTGTGGGGCTGCGACCATGTAAATGCTGTGTAATAATAGAGAAGAACCTAAAGTTTCTATGAGTTTTAGAGGCAGGAAACGAAACAAATCGCTTTGTAACCCTGGTTTTTCAAGCACTTCAGTGCCTTTGGAGCGACTTCTGTTTGGGGGGGGGGGGTGTTCTGGGGGGGGGGGCTCTGTCCACTTCTTTGTAGGGCTGTGATTACGCTACATTAAAGCTACGGGCACTGCGAGAGGCTCTCAGGTATCCTTTATTCTTGTAGTAATAACGCATTAAACTCTTAGTGGTTTAACCCCTGCTGTGCCCTGTCTTTTGCTTACACAGCCCCTGGGGGGGGGGGGGGGTCCTGTGCCCTCCCCACAGCACATTCATATTGGTCCTGCCCCAAAACGGGGGTGCCCCCCCCCATCTCCTCCCTGGAGGTCGGGGGGGGGGAGGAACCCCCAAGCGAGGTCGATGATTGCCTTGGGGCCATGGGTTTAATGGATGTGCCCCCCCCCCCACCATGTCCAGACCCTGATGATTCCCCCCCCCCCCCAGTGTTGTCAAAGGGAACTGTTGGGTTTTAATGCTAAAGAATCAACGTGACAAATAATGAGTGCGAAACACAGAGCCCGAGGGACCAAGGGCAGCCGGGGGGGGGCAGGATGTGACCCACAGGAGGGGCTGAGCCTGATGCAGAGGGACGGGGATGGGGGGGGTCACTGCTCCTAAAGCACAGACAGGGGCTGGAGCAGGAGTGGGGGGGGTCCAGGTTCAGCCCCCCCCAGGCACCTGCCAGGGCTCCAGCACTGACCCTGCCCAGGCAAACCCAACCCGAGGGGGGGGTGCCCGGCTGCAGCCCCCCCCCCCCCCCAGGCCCTGCCGGTTTGGGGCTGGAGGAAGCGGTGCAGTCCCAGGCCCCTGGGACAGAGTCAGAGCAAAGAGAGCTGGAAAGGAGCAGGAGGAGGCCCCCTTGCCCTATGGGGCTGCAGGGCCGGGGGGAGGCTCAGCTCCCCTTGAAGGGTGGCAGCAGGAAGGGGGGGGGGGAAGGAGAAACAGAAAGGGGGGTTCGGGGGGGGGACACTGAGGCCACGGCAGGGAACATGCAGGGAAGGGGGGACCAAAGTCAGGGCAGACCCCGCAGGGTGGGGGGGGAGGAGGCCAAGCCCTGCCCCAGGCCCCAGGCCAGCAGCGGGGTTAATACTGACGGCAGGAGCAGCGCAGGGGCTACCCCAGCGCCCCAGCCCCGTTGCTGCCTGGCCCCCGCAAGCAGCCGCGGTTACCGCATGATCCCTTCCGCTTCGCTTTTCCCAAGTGGGGTTTTTCTCCTGGTTTCATTTCCTTGGAAGCAGCCCCAGGAAGATGCTGAGGCCCGGCCCCCGTTTCACTGTCCAGGACCCAAACCTCGTCCCCAGGGCTAAAAAGTCAGGCCTGGGCTGGACGCGGTGGCCCGGAGCCGTTCCGGTACAGGGAGGCCCGTGGCCATCCATCACATGATGCCATTGGTGAGGTACTGGAAGCCGTCGTAGAGCTTGGTGGTGATGGAGCGCATGCTGCCGTCCACCATCTGGTCAATGAGCAGCTGCAGCTGCTCCTCCGTCATGTTCATGTGGAAGCGCTCCTTCAGGTTGCGGATGGTGGAGGAGCCGTGGAAACAGGGGAGCTGCGACCCTGCAGGGAAGGGGGACAAGGCTGAGCCGGGGGGGGGGGAACCCCTGCTGCTGCCCCCAAGGCTGCTTTGGGGCACTGATGGAGCTGCAGCCCCCGTGCCCTGGCTGTGGTTCAGGCTCCACCACCACCACAGGCAGGCTCCGCTCCCTTCCTGCGCCCCATGTGCAGCCCAGACCCACACGTGGGGGTCGCTGGTTCCCTTTACCTTGCTGCATGATCTCCACGATCTGCACAACTTTGTCCATGTGCTTCCGGGCCGCGATGAGACCCTGCAGCATCAGCATCTTGTAGTAATTGAACATGTCCCCGTCCAGCCCACCCATCACCTGGAAGGGAAAGGATGTGTGGGTGGAAGGCAGTGGATGGAGAGATTTGGGGCATGCCCCAAGTAGATGGAGGCCATCAGGAAGGGACACAGTGGGAATCCACAAAGCAAACAGAGCTCCTCCAGCTCCCAGCTGGGCCACAGGAGCTGCCTGGCTGAGGCTGCGGAGCTGGCCAAGGACCACTACGGGTGCCAAGGGTTCAGCTGTGGCACTGACACCGTGGCATTGCCCCCCCTGCTCACTTACATCCACAAACTCCGTGGTGAGCTTGAAGGCAGAGGTCTCGAAGCCAAGATTCCGGGGGGAGCTGGAAAGGATGAACCCGAAATCAATGTGGATGATGTGTCCATCTGCGTCCAGCAGGATGTTACCGTTGTGCCTGGGTGGGAGAGGGAAAGGGCTCCGCTGAGCTCCGCAGGCGTGAGCCCGGATCCACCTGTGGAGCCAAGGACAGGCTGATGGATCCCAGCAGGAGAGCCGAGTACGGCGCCGGGCCCCACCTGTCCTTGACCTGCAGGAGGTAGCACACGAGGCAGTAACCGGCACAGCTCTGCACGAAGTTCCTCTGGGCCGTCAGGAAGGATTCCGTGTTGTAACTGCCGTGCTCCTGCAGGAAATAATCGAGCAGCGAGAGCAGGGACTGCTTCTTGATCTGGTGGATGGAGACAGCGTTGACGACGGGCTCAATCATGCCGCTGTCGGCGGAGATGACGAGGATTTTGTATGGCTTGATCCAGAGCGGGACCCGCTCCTGCTCCCAGATGGACTGCGGCAAAGGGAGAGAAAACCCCTCAGGGCTCTGGGAGCCCCACAGGGCCGCAGCCCCCCCACGGGGGGCTCCTCTCCCAGCTCACCTGCAGCTGCTTGAGGACCTGGAAGGCGAGCAGCTCCTGCCGCAGGTCGTCCCCGCACTTGACAATGACGGAGAGCAGGCGCCAGGAGGGCAGGTGGCCATAGGGAGACCCTTCCCGGATCCTCCTGCAAGGAAGGGGCAAGGATGGGAGCGCAGGGAAAGGGAGGGGGGGCAGCGAGCAGCCAGGAGGCCTCCCAGCAGGGGCAGCAGAACGAGCTCCAGGACCGCAGGACCCGCAGCCCGAGCCCTCGCCAAACAACAGAGCAAAGCCCACCTGAGCCCCAAACCACCTCCAAGGGCAGCAGAAGGGAATTAACTCTCCCCAGATCCCCCGGGCCCTCTGTCAGAACCATGTGGGCAACTGACAGAGCCCAGCGGGTTCCCCCTCTTGCTCAAGGAGAAACGGTGTGAGGAAGCCTGTAAATACCTGCTCAAGCTCCTCAGAGCCTAACCCAGGAGCAGCAAATCCGCTGTCTGTTGTCTCCCTCCTCTGCTGCTCATGCCCTGAGCCCACAAACCCCCCCCTGGGGACGAGCAGGGCCTGAAGTCGAGGCCCCGGTGATTTAGTGGGGAAAAGCAGGGAGCAGCTCCCCTGCCCTTCCGGGCTGCGCAGCCCCTGCAGCGCCCAGCTTCAGGCCTCACCTGACTTTCTCCTGCCAGGGCTCCTTCAGGGCGACGGCGGACGGGTCCTCAGGGTCCCTCCTGAAGGAGGTGGGGGTGTGAGCCAGCTGCTCCGAGAGCCGCCGCCTGCGAGACAGAGCTGGTGAGCAGCGAAACCACGGCCGAGGGAGAAAGCAGCATCGCCAACCACAGCCATGGGGCCATGGAGCAGTCAGGGCTGGAAAGGACCTTGAGAGCATCCAGTTCCAACCCCCTGCCATGGGCAGGGACACCTCACACTAAACCAGGGCACCCAAGGCTCTGTCCAACCTGGCCTTGAACACTGCCAGGGATGGAGCATTCACAACCTCCCTGGGCAACCCATTCCAGTGCCTCACCACCCTCACAGGAAAGAATTTCCTCCTTAGATCCAATCTAAACTTCCCCTGTTTCAGTTTGAACCCGTTACCCCTTGTCCTGTCACTGCACTCCCTAATGAAGAGTCCATCCCCAGCATCCCTATAGGTCCCCTTCAGACACTGGAAGCTGCTCTGAGGTCTCCACGCAGCCTTCTCTTCTCCAGGCTGAACAGCCCCAACTTCCTCAGCCTGTCTCCATACAGGAGGTGCTCCAGCCCCTGCTCATCCTCTTGGCCTCCTCTGGACTTGTTCCAACAGTTCCATGTCCTTTTTATGTTGAGGACCCCAGAACTGCACACAATGCTCCAGGTGAGGGCTCACGAGAGCAGAGCAGAGGGGAAACCACCCAGAGCCGCAAGAGGTCCAAAGTTCATGGGTTCACCCCAAACCCTGAGCCAGGGCCACATCCAGAACTCCGCTGGCAGGAAAGAGGCCAGGGGCTGAACAGGGGGGGCTGCACCTCCACTGTGCACAGCCCCTCCTGGACCCGTGCCGATGGTTTTCCTCTGTGGATGCAGCAGAGGAATTTCACACACCTGAACTCATCACCCGCCCCAGTGGAGCCGGTGCCGGGGCTGCTCTCACCTGATGTCTCCAGCGGCGATGAACACGGGCTCCCTGCTCTCCTGGCTGGTGATGCTGTCCACAGAGAACTGGGAGATGTTGTCGCAGCTGTTGGTGTGGATCTCGGGCAGCTGGGAAGGGAAAGGTGCAAGAGGTGGGACATGGGGCTACTGAAAACGATTCCCATTGCAGGCCGGAGCAGGGATGCTGCCGCAAGGGCTTCCCCATCCCTCCACGCCGCTGCACCAGACCCTGGCTGCATTTCACAGCACCAGCAAGGGACAAACCCTGCCTGGTGTCACCCCCCCCCTCACCTCCACCTGCAGCTCCACAATGTCATCCACAGACCAGGCCTCGTCGTCGTTGTCGTAGTTGGGGACGGTGCTGAAGCTGCTGGTCCTCTGCTCGTGCGTGATGCCGCACTCCGGCAGGTTCTCGGCCGAGCGCGTGCTCCGGATGCGGTTCTCCGGGATGCGGGCGGGCACATTCGCTGTGTCGAAATTGTCACATTCAAGTACTTCAACGTAGATTAAATAGGGAGCCTGAAGGAAGCCAAGGCGAGGGCACGGTCACGGCACGCGCCACGCAGCGACAGGAGGCAGCAGAACCCTCTCTGCTCTTGCAGCCTGGCTGCTGCGTTGTCTTTTGGGGGGGGGGACCAAAGCCAAGCTTTTCAGAGGCTTGGTGCCAAGGTCAAAACCCTGCGTCCCGAGGCAAACCCTCCCCTACCTTGTCCTTGGAGTTGAGGACGACGGCTTGGGTGTGGGGCACCCGCACGACGTGGTGGTCGAAGCCGGCCGTTGGGAGCCAGGCGCGGGCCGGCAGCTTGTGGTTGAGCAGCGAGAGCTCCGAGATGAGCCGCTGCGTCTTCTGCTCTTTGGTGGGCAGCGTGGCCAGGCGCTTCCCGATGGCGATGAGGGACTTGATGAACTCCCTCTCGGGGGCGAGCCGGACGGGCTAAAGAAGGGTCAGGGGGAGGAGGAGGAGGAGGAGGAGAGGGGGAGAACGTTAGAAAGGGTTGGCGGGATGCTGCCGCATCTGCGCTCTAAAAGCACCGGGATAAGCTCCCGGGAAAGAGGCTCTTCCTGTCTCACCCCCTTCCCTGCTCCCGGATGATGCCCAGCATCCAGAAGCAGAGCACGCCAGGATCAAAGCGCTTCTTCCCTCCCTCCGGTTGTGCTGTCCTGAATCCTCCTCCTCGCTGAGGCTCGGAGCTGGGATCTCATCCCCATGAGAGGCTTGGAGCCAGGGCCGCAGCCAGCAGAGGGAGCGCATCCTCGCCCCGCACTGGGCTGCGCTGCAGCCTCATCCCAAAGCCTCCGTCCGACACGACTCAACCCAACCACGTTGCAAAGACCAAAGTTGGCCCCAGGAGCCTCCCCGCACCCCCGAGCCGAGCTCTGCTCACCTTGCTCGACCTTTCAAATCAGACCAACCAGCGATTGCAGCTGATTTTGCCCTTTAGGATGCAGAATGAAACTCGCAAAGTGCTCACTGTACAATCATGCCAGGAATGCACATGCAGAAAGGTAGAGTGTGAGAAAAGGAAGCAAAGGAAAACGTCGGTGAGCCAGGACCGGCTGCACAGCAAAATAAAGGGATGGTAAAAGAGGAGGAGATCAGTCTGGTGGTTCCCTTTGGGAAAGGGCAGCTGAAAAAGCCTTTGTATCTGTAGTCCACATCAAAAATCCTCCCACACTGACTCGGGGGGGAAGCGCTGGCCTCTCCTCCTCAGGGCCCTGCTCAGAGGTGTCCCTGGCACAGGAGGGAGCATTTGCTCAGCATCTGAGCCACTGAGACCGTTTTCACCTCCCAGGCAGAGGACAAACACCCCAATCCCTGCCCCAGCTGACATTCCATCCCCTGATGGGCTGGGAAAGTGCCTGGTCCCGGCCAGGCCCCGCTCTGCCTCGGCTCCTGCCACCCAGCCAATGCTTCTTGACCTCCAGAACTGTTTCCCTTCATTGCATTTAATCCAAGTTCCGCAGAAGCAGAGCGAGATTCAAGAGATGCTCTGCTCCTCCCAATGCTCCTTCCCATTGAACCCTGCCGGCTGCGATGCCCCTGCTCCTCTCAGAGCCTCCCGCTCTTGGCTCAATGCAGGTTTCCAGGCTTGGCACGCAGGTGATCCTGTCCCCAAAACACGGCCCCGTGCTCCCTCACCTGCTCTGTGCACCGCTTGTTTCAGTAAAGGAACTGAATGGGAGCACTGGTGGGGTTGTGCCCAGGCAGGAAGGTGCCCACGTGCAGGAGCAGATGATGAGCAAAGTCCTCCACCAACGTGTGCATCGCAAGCACGGGCAGTTTTTAAACCCCCTCCTCTCCAGGGATCCCAAAGCATCTTCTCCCCATTGCGCAGCGAGGGGAGCGGAGCCTCCCCAGCCCCAGGACCCATCCTGCAGCTCCGATGTCGCAGCTCCAGTCGAAAACCTCCAGGTCGAGGCTCCTCCTGCCAGAAACACGGCCAGGAAACGTCTCCTCTCCTTCCCATGCTGCTCCCAGGGCTTCCCACCGCGCGCTGCTCCGCTCCTCGGTGTCATCAGGGGCCGCAGCATCCGGTTCCAGGGAAGCAGCTTTGGGAAACGGCCCCGGCTGAACCAGGGCTGTCCCTGGAAAACACGTTCCCAAAGTGCTGCACAAAGGCCACGGAGCTGGAGCTGGGCTGCACGGAGCTGGGCTGCACGGAGCTGGGCTGCACGGAGCTGCGCTGCACGGAGCTGGGCTGCATGGAGCTGCTTTCGCCCTGGCTCACGAACGCCACAGTCCTGCAGCCAAGCAGAGAGAGGACAGGAGATGCTCTCCCCTCATCCAACCACCTGAAGGATCCTTCTGGTGCTTTGAGCCAGCAGCCACCGTGCCTGGGGGAGCTCTGAGCATCTCAGGGGTTAATGTGGGACGCTTTCCAGCCTCAGCTGCCCAAGCGGTTTCTGCTGTCCCACCTACCTTTACCCCGCTGTCCCAACCTCTTCTCCACTCAAACCCCCGCCATCAGTCATTTCAGAGCTTCATAAAGCAAAATCCTGGCCACCCCCCATTTCTGCTGCCCATGGTCACTCACACCTGGTCCGAGTTGGAAACTGCTCAGCAGTGCAGAGCTGCTTTGGCTTAGCTGCCTGCCACGAGGATTTCAGCCTCGGCACTGACACCCAATGCTGCTCCCGTTCAGCTCAGTGCAGGGGCCTGCAGCAGGAACGCTTGCAAAGAGCCCCATCTGCCACGGAAAACCAACCTGGGGCTGCAAAGCCTGCAAGAAAAGGTCTCCTGGCGCAGGGGGACGGGAGCAGGACTCTCACAACCACCCAGCCCTGGGTGACTGAGATGGGTGGCGTGGTCGAGGTGGCAACCCCATTGCTGGAGAGCTTTGAGGACACTTCTGCAATGCCCTGGCACCGAGGAGCCTGCAAAGGCTCTACCAATACTGAATGGAAAAATGGCCCTGGAGGAAGAGATGCTTGCCTTGGAGGAGCAGGAAGGGTTAAAAATGAAGTAACTTACCCAAAGCTGCATGGCAAAGTGGGCCTGAGAGCCTGGTGTCCTCCCTCCCACCCAAGCACCAGCACCCACAGCTGCCCGAGCATCCTACCATCCCTTGCAGCCCTGAAAACCAGAACATTCATCAAAACCTGAATGGAGCCTGCACTGGGATGAACCTGGGGGGTAAAAGCCTTGTGGCCGGCGCATGTACACGACCACAGCATCAACACCCCTGCCCGCATGGAAAAGGTGCCTCTGAAGCACAGAAGGACCCAACAGGAGCTGGGTGCGTGTCCACTGACTCTTTACATAGGCTAAAAAGGATGGAGTTCACCACCAAACCCTGTCCTGGAGGATGGGCACTACGCAAGGCACCTCTGCCCAGGTACGTGGTTTTGATCATGGACTACATATTCAACGTGTGAGAGCCCACTGGGAATCCCAGACACAGAGCACACACCCACCACAGGGCAAAGACACAGATGAGGAAGATGCTATTGATTGCACAAAAAAATTAACAATAATAATTAAAACAAGAGGCTCATTTGGAAAGAAAACCCTCTGGGGTTTGATTGAGAGACTGAAGTTTAACACACAGAAAAGGGGAGGGGGGGGGGGATGATTCGTGGAAAAAGCAAATTAAATCCCATCCGGCAGAGAACTTTTTAAGTGAAACTCAAGGAAAAACAGCATTTCCTCTTTCATCTGTGGGTGCTGCCATGCAAAGGCCACTGGCTGCTCACACTGAAACCAGCAGCGTTAACCGAATCCCTCCCTGCCTCTGCAGTGTGAGGCTTTCTCTATGTCTTTTTTTTGGGGGGGGGGGGGAAGAGCACCCAGAGCCCCCCTAACCCCTCGGGGGGGGGTGTGTGTGTTTGTGCTTTATTCTAGTGCAAATTCCCACTGGTGTTTCACTGCACAAGCAGGAAGCACTGAGCCAAAGCCAGCATCACGCGTGGCAATGGGGGGGACACGACGACACTGGCTTTGCCCCCTGCCTTGGGGGGGGGTGGTGGTGGTGGTGGGTGTGCTGGGCTCAGTGCTGCTCGTGGTGCACAGCCGGCTGCTGGGGGTTTGGTGTTTTGGTGGCAGAGAGGAAATGCTGCTGCTGGGGGGGGGGGAAGGCAGGCACAGCACGGGCCACTTACGGGGCAGTCTGACTGCTCGAGACTTTCCGTACTCGAGGAGAGCTCCTGGGAAAGGGAGGGAAGGGGGGGGGGGGTGGCAGTTTTGGGGGGGGGGGTGTTTAAAAGGAGAGAGAGGAAGAGGAAGAGGGGGAGAAAAAGCAACAGTTTAACTCCACGTTCAGAACGGACACTTCCCATTTCGTTTGCTTCCCTCCCCGTGCCACCCCCCCCCACCCCATCATGGTTTTACTCTTGGATAGGAAGTGGCACAGGATGCTTCCAGAGGAATGGGATCTCAACCAGAGCCTCCTCGGGCTGAGGCCACTTGTGGTGGGTACCAAACAGGGAGCAGGGCTCACTGGCAGATCCCTCAATGTCCATAACCACCCCCCCCCCCCCAAGTTTCCCATTTGCACCACAGAACAGTCAGGGTTGGAAAGCACCTGAAGATCATCAAGTTCCAACCCCCATCCTTTAAAATACTCTTCTACCCCAGAAGTGAAACTAAGGCTTCAGCTCTGGCTTGCTTGGCTCAAACCAGCTGCAGAGATGGGAGCTGGCAGGGCGAGCAGGAACGCCTATGCTGAGACCTGCCTCTCTCATCAACAAAGCCACTTTATTCCCCCCCCCGCCCCTCCACCCTGGACTCTAATTCAGCCTCTTATTTCAGCAGATAAAAAGAACACCATGGAAACGGTCCTAAACACTAACCCCCCAACACCGAAACTCCTTCCTGGCCGATGGGACACTGCTCATGGGCAGAGGGGTTGTTCTGTGGTTTCCCTGAAGCCAGGCTGCTCTTAGCCCAGCAAGGAAACAAGTTCCGCCGGAGGAAAGCACCTTTGCCAGCACTGCTGAAGGTGCAGTTCCAGAGGTAAAAGGCCAACGTTCCTCCACACCCCAACTGGCAAAGGCAGGGCAGGGCCACGGGCTAGAAAGTGCAAGACCAGAGTCAGACCCCTTGGGCACCCTTGACTGAAAAGCAGCTTTCAAATGCAGGGGCTGCCTGCAAGCGCGCAAACTCCGGAGAGTGGGTCCATGACAAAGTGCAGGCAGGTCCAGACCTGCACATCCAGCCTCGTGCTGCTCCCCGGGTAACCCTCATGGTGCTGGGAGAACCAAAGACCTCCCTGCCGGCAGCGCGAGAGCTCTGCTCTTCCTCCACCACCACCACCACCACCACCACCACCACCCTCGTGGGATGGCAGAGCTCCCTGCTCAACAGGGTTCAGAGCTCATGAGTCAATCAGCAGCTTTCTCATTCAAGTGGCTTTTTTACTTGACCAGTAAAACCAGTTCAGGCAAACGCCTGTGCTCGCACGGAGACGCAACGTGAGGCTGCCTGGCTCCCTCCAGCAGCAGCCCCGCTCTGAGCAGGCACCGGGTTTAGGCTCCCAGCTAAAACAAGCTGCTCCCATTCAAAGCCCTGCTTTCAATCCAGTTGGTCACACAAATAAAGAGGGCTGGTTTCCCCCTGCCTGCTCTGTGTCTTTGGAACCTTCACCTCGGCTCCCAGAGAGATCCAAGGGATGAATCCCTCCTCTCCAGGCAGGCAGCGTGCTTTATTCTCCCTCCCTCCAAGGCTTCAGGAGTGAAACCAGGGGTGGGAGGCAGAGCAGGGTATGGGGAACGTCCTCCCTGTTTCACCCAGGTGCAAAGTCTCAGCTATAAAGTTGACACATCTGCCCCAGTAGGAACACTGCTTCAGCTCCAGGCCTTGCCACCACGTCCAACATTCCTCAGCATCACCGGCGCTGCCACGCTGGCAGGGACAGCGGGGTCACATCCTGAAGCTCGCAGGGGAGAGAAAAGTGCTGAGCATCAGCGACCGCTGCGCACCGCAGCCTGCAGGCAGGGCAAGCGGGGAGTGGAAGAGCTCACACCCAGCTTTAACTCAAGAGTCGTGGGGTTTCACCTTTGCCAAGTGCTTCCCAAAAGCCACAGCCCTGTGAGACAGCAGCACAACCCAGGCGTGCTCAGCACCAAAACCACCAAGTCAGCCAAGCCCTGGATGGACTTGGGGGGGCAGGCAGAGCCCAGGGAGGCCTCATCCATCCTAGAGAGGCAGGGAGCCAGGCAGTGGTTAAGGTGCTGCTGCCTCTGCTCAGCCAGGAGGAAGCCAAGCAGAGGCAAAGGCATTTGCATGCTGCAAAGGCAGCACAACCTGTTTGTGCACCAAATCCCCTGGGGGGGGGGGACACACACGCCGCGGCGAGGCCTTGTGGCACCTTCACAGCAAATCCTGTTGGCTTTAGAGAGGAGGCACCATTAAAAACCAAGCACCCAAAGCCAGCGAGGCTTCACTTCTGCACAGCGAGGCGAACCGAAGGCGATGGGACAGCAAGGTGACTTTCTCTGCTCCAAGTCCAGCTCCACCTCGCTCCGACGGGTATCCCTAGGTCAGGTCAGGCTGTTTCTGGTAGCATGGCTGCTGGGCTGCACTTTAAGCTGTTGCTCTGCCCTGGGTGAGGTTTTCTTTCCAGGCTGCTGCCTGCAGCCCTGCCAAAATCCCTGGGGAGCTGGGCACCACATCCCAGCCATGGCCAGCTTCTGCCCAACAAGGTCTCGTCAGCCACCAGACCCAACAGCACCACGCTTCTGCCCAACGCGACCAACTGAACAGGCCCCGGTAGGACCAGCTCATACTGCAGACAGCAAGGGACCAATCTTCAAGGTTTAGCACTTAAACAGGCAAGAAAGTATGATTCTAGAGCACTAACGTGTCCCCAGTGCACAGCACAGCTCTGGGGCTGCAACGTGCAGCGCTGCATGCGCAGCACGGCCTCAGCCCGGCCCTGTTCTGGCATCCCACACAGCCGAGGGCACCCGAGCACATCTCCCGTAATGACACCCTTGACAGTGCTGCCCTGCTCCCCAGCACGAGCATCACCTTACAGCAAGTCCCTCCTCTCCAGGTCTCAGGTTGCTCGGGAGATTTTATCCCTGCCAAGTCTCTCGTTTGAGAAAGTCTGGGCACAAGCTAAAGGCTGCTCCGAGCACGACACAGCTCGCGCATCCGTGGGCTTCCTGGACTGAGCAACCTGGAGATGAAAGTCTCTGAAACCAGATTAAGAAAGTGATGGAAGCGATGCCTGACCTTCCCAAAAGCAGCTCCAAAAGGAGGCACTGACATCCAGCCCTTCCGACAGTCCAGCTCCAGGAAGCCGGTGCTCAGAGGCCAGGGAAGTTCTTGCGGCACCTTGAGCATCCCTGTTGCTGCACCACACATAAGCAGCTTGCCCAGCCTCGGGATCAAAACCCACTGCAGACACTGCCAAGAGAAACCCTTTCCCATCCATCATTCATGCGGAGCTCTGGTTTCCCTTACCCAAGCAGCTGCAGGCGGTGGGAGCAGAGCCCTTGGTGCTCTCCCTCGGCCGATAGTTTTCCAGCAAGCAGGCAGAGACATGAAAGATTCATTTACAGCAGCAAACGCCACAAGCCAGCTCGTGGCAGGGAGCAGGACAGGGGGCGTTTAACTCGAAACCAGCCCCTCTGAATGCTTCTTCACGCCTCCAAAACCTCCCTGGAATCCTTACCTCCACGCCTGGCAGACAGGCAGGGGGAGCTCATGGGGCCCCTTCTAACAACCTACAAGCCAGCACGGAGCCAAAGGAAAGGAGGAATCTCTGGCAAGGCAGGAAAGCCAAGAAACGCTCCAACTGTTAGGAAAAGGGTCACGAGATCCCACATGTCCAGATGGGGAAGTTGGCTTTGAAGGTCTTGTCCACACGAGGCACAGGGATGAGCCAGCAAAGGAGCCGTGTGGAGCCCGGCTGGGGCACGAGCCTTTGGTGCTGTGTGGTTTCAGGAGAGGGGAACCAGCTCCCCAGGGAGCAGCTCAGCTTGCTGAGCCCTGGAAGAGGCACTGCTCCCCTCTGCTTTGGGTAGCACCAGCTCCCCGCCTCCGTCCCGCTCAGCACTGTCATCTCAGCCCTGCGTTTCTCACCATCCCAGCCTAAAACCCATCAAAACAAAAAGGAGTACAACAAAGAAAGCTCCGTTTCCAGCTCTTTCCCTCCAACCTTTGCGTCCCCAACCCAAAGGAGGCTGCTCATCCTTCTGCTCCCTAAGCCTGGGCCAGCAGACGTGCAAAAGGAACGATGTGCACCTTCTTTGGGAGAAATCCTGCTCCAGCACAACCACTCCCCCCGGCTCGCAGCGTGCTCTGACACCAGAGCATCTTCGCGCTGAGGACTCTTCAACGCTTCCAAATGAACCCGCAAAGCCCGGGGGAGCTGTTTGGGTTTGGGAGACACGGGACACGCACGTTCACCCATTTAACTGCCATTTGCTTTGCCATTAAACCGTGTTAGCACCCAGGCCCTGAAACGGGAAGTGTCCCCTCCGCACAGCCCAGCCCCTCCAGCAGGGAAAGTCCGGCTTTCCACAGCCTTGGAGCTACAAGATGAGAGAAACCCAAAGCAGAGCTCAGCCCAGGGCAGAAGCCACAGACAAACCCCAAGGCTGCAGCTCCTGGCCCCACAGCCAGCAGGGTTGGCTCCTGTTGGCCAGGGCACCGGGAGAGCAGCGCTGATGGCTGATGGGTTTATCAGCCCTTTCTGGCTGCAAGCAAACTTCAGCATTGCTAAATGCGAACAAGTCGGCACAAGGAGGAAATCAGATTTCCAGATGGCTGCAGATTGTGAAACAGGCCCCAGCCGAGCTGCCCAAATTGTGGGGGAATTCAGCAGTGTAAGAAGCCACTCAGTCCCTGGCCCAGCTCTCTGCCTTACCTTGAAGCCACCTAATGCCACCCTATTCCCCTCACACAAAAAACCATCCCCCTCTGGAACCCCACCACCCTCGGGTGTGAGTCAGTTTGCTTAGGGACACAGGACTCAGGACTTCCACCATTTGCAGCCAGGAGGACAAACCCATTCCATGCTAAAGGATGAGCTAGGAGATGAGAACCAACAACATGCGCACAGCCCTGGGGGAGCCCCAGCATTACCTCTTCCTCGCTCTCGACTTTGGGATTGCTGGCTGTGCGCTTCAGGTTGCTGCTCAGGCTGATGGTAACGGTAGCGTCCGACTTGGACCTCTGGTGAGTCCTTTTGGAAGGAGACAGCCCCGTATCGGGCGCTGGGCTCAGCGACGGCAGCTCCCTCCTTTTGTAAGCTGGCTTCAACTCGTCCGAGAGGATGAGCTTCCGCAGCTTGGTCCCGCGGGAGTGCCGCTGAGTGGAGATGTGCATGTCCGAGGAGTAGGCACCCAGCAGCAGGGCACACTGCAGGGAGAAGTTGATGCTCTGCCGGCAGCGGTGCACGATGTAGGGCTTGATGGCATCGCCCACATCCTCATCCATGTGAATGTACATATTCAGCAGCTGGGGCAGGTAGAAGTCCACTTCTTCGTTCCTAAAGCAGAACAACCTATTCCCAATGTAAGCCTGCACACCAGGTTCCTTTGAATTGTACAAGTATGAAATGGCCATGGAGATATCAAAGAGTTTGGATTCAAAGAGCCGGAGGAGCCAGGACTGCTTGGCAGAGTTATTCTTCTGCCGTTTCCGGGCAGTTTTCACCGTGTTGGCCGTGCTCTCATCCTCCTCCTGGATCTTAGAGGCCGTGCCGGGCGGATCATCCAAGCACCTGATTTCACAGCCCTCCCCGATGTCCCCATTGACCAAGTCCATCACGCTGCGCGGGGTGCTCTCCGTCCCCCTGCCTCCGGCTGCCTTTGCTGAGCTGTCGGAGGAGATGCCGTGCATCAACTTCACCTTCTCCAGGACCTCTTCACAGGCTTTCTTGGCCACCTCAGGGTCGATGACCGCCAGCTCCCCAACGCCTTCCGTGATGACGCTGAGAGACGTCCCGCCATTGCCTTGGGGCGCCGGGTCCAGGGCTGTCCTTCGGCCTGGGTCTGCAACAGGGTCTCCCATAGCAGTGGTGGGTCTGCACGCTTCAAAGCTGGAAAGGAAACAAAGAAGACCAAAAGAGTCAGGGACACAATCTGCTTCCAGCCCCAAGGCGGGAAAACAGGAATCCGCGCTGGGATACACCTCAAGGGAAAGCAGGAGCTGAGGTTTGGTGCAAACCTGTTCCAAAAGCCTGCCTCTAGAGAGGAAAGGTGCCCCAGGAAAACACACGCAACGCCAAGCTGGTCCCACTGGCTTTTAAAGGTCTTCTTGGAGCCCCTTCCACTGAGACTTGAAAGAGAGCTGTGAGCATCTATCAGCCATTACACTGAATTTCCCCGTTACCATGACGATCAAAAAATTGAGCAAGCCAAAAAGAGAGGGAAAATAAGAGGAAAAAAAAAAAACCAAAACAAACCAAGAACACCCCCCCCCCCCAGCTGCTTTCTGCCCTGCACCCCAAAGGCATTTCGTAATGCTTGGGACCAGCAGGACACAGGCTGGGTGGAGCTGGTGGCTGCTTTTTGCCACACAAGATGAAGTTTATGCCCTTTTCTCAGCTTCTGCTCATTCAACCTCCCTTCAGAAGGCGGGTGGCAGCAAAACCCCCCGCTGGCGCTGGGCACGAGGCAAGCAGAGCCAGAGCAAGAGCCAAGTTGGGTGCAACAGGGTCCCTGCTTTCAGGTTACGAGGCCTCACCAGGGATCAGCACTTCACTGCATCTAGAAAGCAAGACAAATGAGGGGCTGCCGCACTTCCTGGCTTCCCATCCCGACGGAAAGAGCGGCGTGGGGCATTTCTGTGGGTAACCAGCAAGAACAAAGGCGGCCAGCGCCGAGTGAAACCGTCCTCTAAAAATAAAATAAGGCACTCTATTCAACGCAACATCATTACTGCAGCGCTGACTGCTTCCCTTCATGGCTCACGCACTACAAGAAGACAGCTCGTGATCAGCAGAAGGGCACAATGCCTTTTCCAACTGGGAAGTACCGCAAGCAGATTGCCAGTTCCCTCCTGCCTTCCACATCCAGCACGGGGCGGGGGAAAGGACTGCCTTTGGCAAAGATGTTCACGGAACCATTTTCTGCCTGCCTGCTCCCCCCCAGCAACCCCCAGCTCCTGCTCTGCCCGCAGAGGGGCCTGCACCAAGGTATTCCCCTGGTAATGCAATGACCTGGTTTTACCTGTTCCTTTTAGAAGCGACTGCAGCTCCCAACGTGGGAGAAAGGGGCACGGAACCCAACGGGGTTCCTTTCTACATCTCCCAAGCGAGTACAAATGAGGTTGGAGCGTGCAGATGCGAGCACCACTTCCCAGAGACCACTTCCCTCCTCTTGTTTTCAAAGCTCTTAAGCTCTAACCATGAAGTATAAAAAAGCCTGACCAAAGTTCAGGAGCCTGACCCGATATGAATAGCATCTTTCACCCCGGCCGCATGGCAGCCACACACAGTTTTCCTCTGTGCTTGCCATTCCCTTCGGTACAAATCCTGCGTGCTTCAAATACTTGTGGTCATTAGATCCTAAAGACCCTGCGAGCTGAAGGAAGTTGTTTTTCCTCCTCCACGGGCCCGGCCTCTCCCCACAAAAGCCCAGACAATCTGATTTCTAAACCCACACCACACCGACAAGGAGGGGGGATCTGAAGCGGCACGGAGCAGAGCTGGCTCTCAGGAGGAGTGGCACAGAGCTTTGCTCACGCCAGCACTCCTGGGGTCCTTCCAACGTTCCCATCAGGACAAGTGGGATGACAAGCTGATGAGAGATAACAGAGATCAGCAATGGCATCCAAGGGAGTCCCAGACACGGCCACGTAGCCACACGCGGCTGCATCCCAGGCGGCTCAGCCAGTCGCCAGCAAAGGGTCTTCCAAGCATCAACCAGTTTATCCTCTGCAAGGAAATGCCTTTGACATCCTCCTACCTGGGCTGCAGAGGGAGAAAAAGGGCCCAGGATCTGCTGAACCCTCCCTCCTGTACACACACTCGTGAAGCCTGGAGCTGTGTGGGCAATTCTGGGTGTTAAACCTCCTCCACACCCTCGGGAGAGGCTGGATCCAGCCTGCCCTACTCACCCAAGGCATCGCCACGACCCCCTCAGCAGAGCCTCTCCCACCACCACTCCAAACTCCCCAATCCTTTGGCCACCTTCACCAGAAGGGGCCCCTGGGCCAGCTCTGCAGAGCAGAGGAGCCAGACTCAGAGCCACTGCGTGGGTTAAACGTGGAGTAAGGAACTGCACAAGATAAACCCACCCCGGGGTTACCTCTGCACCACACGCAGGCACGGCCCTCGGTGCTGTGCCTCTTCCAAACCAAAGCACTGCTGCTCTTCTAAGTCCTGTTATCTGGCTCCTCAGCCCCCCCCCCAGCACTCACACAGTGAGTGTCAGCCAGCGACATCCCGGCAATGGGGCCTGCTCGGAGCCCACCAGGGACACGTCTCCCTTCCCAGTGCTCCCTAAGATCCCAGCGAGGGAATGCTCTCCCCGCATCCCGCGCCTCTCGGCAGCGTTTGCTGCTCCCATCCCCGTTGGCTGAACACACCACAACGAGCTGTTTACCTCCTGAGGCTCAGCATTGCTCCCCTATTGCAAGCGCCTGGTCCCAGCAGGGATGAAAACCCCATCAGCTGCACACAGTGAAGCAAGCCCGGCTGGAAAGCAGGCTGAGCTGAATCCGTGTGGCTCATCCTCCACCCACGGCCGTAACGGGCCAAGTTTCTCTCTGGTGAACAGCCCTGAAGCTGGTGATTAAATAGGAAATAAAGGGAAGCCCCTGGTAGCACGGAAACTACCCCTGAAGCAGCTGCACGGCGGAGCAGTGACTTGAGAGGACAATTCCTTCAGGGAGGGACAAAAGCAGAGGGAGATCTCTGGGAACAGAGCCGTGGCTTTACAGGAAAAAGGCAAAGTCTTGCTCCTGCCTGACTTGAATGAGAAATATTAGCCCTGGCAAACCACCAGGAGGACGGGATGAAGCTTCTCCAGGACATCTGGACTCTATTACGCTGCATTACTTCTTGTTTTGCTCAGCACTGACGGCCTTCAGCATCTCGCTGTGCCTTCGGGAAGGCCACAGGAGTTGGGATGGGGGCAGAAAACATGAGAGCAGTGCTGGAGGAGGATGCACTGTCAGGGGCCCCTTGCTAGGGTACAGGGAGAGCCCCTGCTTCTCGCAGTGCCCTCCTGGACAAACAGCACCACTCCATGCATCTTAGGAGGTGACAACCTAAAGGTTGGGGAAACCGAGGCCCAAAGGGACGGTTCACATGGGGGACGTGGGCAGCACGCTGGGAGCAGTGCCAAAGTGAGCCCAAATCATTCTGCCTGGGGGATGCTGCCCCTGGAAGCCCAAAATGCCCTTCCAGGAGCGACGGGGCCCTGACCCGCATGGGCCCCCTCCTGTTTCTCACACTTGGCTGGAGCAGATTCAACCTCTGCACCGCGCAAGGGTCCCGCTCCACTTCACAGCAGAATGAATGCCACATCCCAGGCATCCCCCGAGGACAATCTCTGCCCGTACACCAGGGCACCGCTGCGGGATGCTCCTCCACGGAGCAGCACCGCTCCTGCTTGACGGCTGCACATCATGGAGCACAGAGCAGAGGGAAAACAGAAAGGGTGAACTTGCAGAGAAACAGGCAACAGGATGGGAGGCCAGGGGCCCCGGGAGCACTCTGCTCCATCCCAGCCTTGCCAGGATGCTCCTGCTGGAAGGACTCCTCCGCATCCCGCCCCACTCCCACCAGGCTCAGCTTCAAGGCAAGTTGTGTTTGGCCAAGCCCGTGTGCCATCAGGAAGGCTGGGGCTCAGGCAGGCAGAAACATGACTCACCCCGAACTCTGGAGTACAAGAAAAAGCCAGGCTGCGAGAAACACAGCAGGAGAAGGACAAACGCAGCGTGCTCAAGAACACCTCCCAGCGCTGCCGCTGGCTCTGCGAGGGAGAGGCTCCCCCACTTCCCCACTCCAAATCTGCAGAGGGAAACGTTGGGGAATCTTCCCGAGAGCCTCCCCCATGGAGAAACGGACCCCCCTGCAGAGGGGAGCAGAGCACAGCCAGAGCCCCCCGCCCCTCATTCCCTTCTCCCTCTGCAAACCATCCAGCCCCACGGGAAGGAGTTCAATCCAGTGATTTATTCGTAAATTAACTTCCCCTTTGACAAGAAATTACTGGGGGAGCAGTAAAACCTTTCTCACCTCCGAGAGCCGCTGCGAAGTGCCCGGGCCCTTTGGAAAAGGTTTCTCTGCCTGCAAGAGGCTCTGATTCCACAAGGACGCTCTTTGCAAAGCCACTGCGCGCATTCCACAGCTTCAGCTCATCACACACATTACTCACACGGCCACATCCAACCTTTTGTCCCCGTCTCTCGCACCTCTCCACCCTGAGGAGCGCTAATTAGAATCTCTGAGCAAGTGAGGACAAACCCTTCCATCCCAGCAGCCTATTTCTGAGCACACCGAACCCTGAAGCAAGCTGTGCTGGCACAGCCACCATGGGAAGTTTCCTCCTCCCAGTGATCACAAGGTGCTTGGAGCCTGAGCATTCCCACACGCGTTCCTATGTGTAAATTCAGCATTTCAAGTTGCTGTTGTTACCCACAGCCATGTCTGAGTCTTCCTCTGAAGCGTGACTTGAAAGAAGCTGTCTCGATGTGACAGCAAATGGGAGGAGAAAAGGCAGGAGCGCACCTCCCCAGCTCAGGCTCCGAGAGCAGCTCCTCTGCCACTGCTCCAAGCGTGGACCTGAGCTGCGCGGTGACAAATGGGCCGTGATTTCAGGAGCGCACAACCACGTTCAGACTGCCAAGCGAACCGGAGACCATTATCTCTGCTGAGCAGGAGCTGCAGGCTGAGCCCCAGCGCTGGGGCTGCCTCTGCAGGAGCAGCTCCCTCGGCACGCACACAAGTCGAGGGCAGCCGCCGGTTTGCACAGAGAGCAACGAACCCCCCCTCAAAAGGGAGCTCAAAACACCAGAGGCGCCGAGGAGCCGCAGCTCCTGCACCCAGCGCTGGAAACCAGCGCTTCCACCCAGCTCCTTCCCCACGCTGCACCTCCGAACTTTCCCCAAGCGGGGGACAGCAACGGGAGGGACCAAACGCGACCATTCCTCATCGCGCCGGGAGTTACCACCGACTTGAAGCCGGAGTTTCAAACGGGGTGGGGGGGCACAAAGCACCGAGGGGCTCCTGCCCCGTGCAAACCGGAGCCGCTGCTCAGCGCCCACCCCCCGAGCACGTTACATAAGATCCCGGTCTCTTTCGGCAGACACCAGATGGCCCCGGGGGAGGGAGGACGGGGACGTGGTGGTGGCAAAGCCTCCTCAGCAGTGACGGCCCCAACCCCCCCGCCGCACCGAGAAAGCCTCGGGACGGGCGCTCACCCGGCCCCGGCGCTGCCCTGTGCCCCGTCCCCCCAACCCCGGGAGGGGGTAACGGGCCCGCGGGTCCCGGAAGGCCCGGGCTGAGCTGCGGTACCTGGTGCGATCCCATCGCGCACGGCCACGTCTCCGCTCTGGGACGCCGGGAGCCGGGGCAGCGCGGGCGGCTCATCCTGGGCAGCAGCTCCGCGGGGGGGGGGGGCGATCGGCGGCGGCTGGGGGAGCACGGGCGGAAGAGGAGCTCCCGGCCCGCAGAGCCGCGGCCGCCGGTACCGGCGAGCCCGGGCTGTGTGTGGAGGGGAGGGGGAAGCGGCACGGGCCCGGCCCAGTGAGCGGCGAGGGCCTGCACCGGAGCCTGACGGCCTCAGCCCGGCTCCAGCAGGCCCGTCCCTCCCGCCGGCCACACGGGTGACGCTGCTGCTGCTGCCGCCGGGGGCACGGGGAGGAGGCGCGGGGGGAGCCCCGGAGCTCTCCCGGTGCCGGGGCCGGTGCCGGTGCCGGTGCTCACCCGGCGGGGAACGCGCAGGCCCGGGCTGCCCGCGACGCCGCCGGAGGGGGCAGAGGGGCCGGGCAGGCCTGGCCGCGGGAGCGCCCCCTGCCGGCTCGGCGGCACCCGCGCGGGAGGCGGAGGCGTGGACGGGGCCTCGGTTGCCCAAACCCGCCGGTTTTAACGTTAAAACCGCGCTGCTGCGGGAGCCGGGCTCGGCGGCCCCGCACCCCCCCCCCCCCCGACCCCCACAGAGAGCACAAAGGAGCCGTCGGGGAGAGCTCGGGCTTTAATGGCGGCTGCAGGGCACGGGCACGGCGCTAAGAGCCGGGGTGCGCGCACAGCCCCGGGGAGCCCGAGAGCGCGGACGGGGCGGGCTCGGGAGGGGTCCCCGCCGCGGGCTCCCCCCCGGCATCGCCCGGGCTCCGCTGCGCCTCCGGTGCCCGCTCTGGGCCGTCGGCAGCCCCGGTTCTGCCGGCTTGGGCGGGCGTGGAAGCCCCGGCCCCTCGGTCCGCGCCTCCTCGGGGCTCCGCCGCCGCCGCCCCCCCCCGGTCCTCCGGCCTCTTCCGCGGCCGCCCGGGGCGCCGCTTCTGCGGGACGGGGTCGCCGGGGGCCTCCGGGAGCCTCTTGGCGGCCTTGGGGTGCGGCGAGTCCCGGGGGCCGGGCCCCGCGCTCCGCGGCTTGGCGGGGCTCTCTGCCGCGGGGACGCTGACGCCGGGCAGGAGGACGTTGAGCACCGGCACCGCCGCCTGCGGGCTCCGCAGCCCCAGCGGCAGCGCCGGGGAGGCCGCGCTCACCGGCAGCGGCAGCGCCACCTTCACCGTGCCCCCCCCCAGCGGGGCCGCCGTCAGCTTGGGCGCCAGGACGGGAGGGGAGGAGCGGGCGGCGGCGGCCCCCGGCGCCGTGGGGCGCTCCCCCGAGGGGATGCGGGGCAGGAGCAGGGGCAGGCGGGCGACCAAGGCGTTCACCTGGGGGCTGGGGGCAGCCTTGGGGGGCTCCGGGGGCTTCTTCTTGTCCGGCCGGGGCGCAGCGGGAGCCTTGGGGCCGCTCTCCTTCTTGACCTGCGGGCAGAGGAGCTGCTGGGGGGGGGGAGCCGAGAGGAGCAGGGAACCCGGGGGTCCGGCCCCCCAGTGCGGTCCCACCTGCCCCTGGCTCCTGTCACCGCTCTCGGAGGTGTCCGCGCTGCTCTTCCTGGCTGCCGATGGGGCCCGGCTCTCACGGGGGATCTTCTCCGTGCCCTCTGTGCGTGCACAGAAGGGGATGGAAGCGGGACACGGCCCTGGGCCCCTCAACCACCCCATGGGCGATGGTTGGCAGCAGCTCAGCCCCACCACGGGAGGCTGAAAGAGGACTCCCAGCTCCCAAACCCTCTGCGCCCCGATGGGGTCAGAGTGAGCCCAACGTGGAGGGCGATGGAGCGAGCCCAGGACTCCCCTGCACACACCTGAGACCACCATGGCCATGACCAGGTCGGCGTGGGCCGAGCGGGAGCTGATGATGTGCTGCTGGATGAGGAACTGCGCCACCTCCACGATGTTGTTGAAGGAGCGCTTGAGGATCTTCTCGGCCCAGTCGCAGGTCAGGGCACAGGCCGCCTCCATCACCTCGATGTTGTAGGACTGCACCAGATCCGTCAGCTCCGACTGCTGCGGGGTGGGGGGGACGGGGACAAGCCGTGAGCCCCCGCAGCACGGGACAGGATGCTCGGATGTGAACACGTCACAAGCCCGTAGATCCTTGGGAGCTCCCTTTTGGAAGGCTCACGGGACAGAGGCATCCCTGCACCCCTCCATTTCAACGGGCTCCAACAGGCAAGGAGCTTCATTACCCCACCAAAAGCAGGTTGGCGAAACTCAAGCCACGGAGGCAGCAGAGGACTTACGGTCTCTGTCACTTTGAGGTCCAGGCTGGGCAGGGGTGGCAGGCTGACCACTGTCTTCCTCCGGACCCCGCTGTAGCAGTACGTTTGGCGGCGTTAAGGTCTTTTGCTGTCACACAAACGCGGCCGCAACCCGCGACGGTCACAGGTTACGGCTGCGGGGCTCACGATGGGCTTGTGCCAGAGGCATGAGAGCACCCGGCCCCAAGCTGTGATGCCCCCTTCGTGGTGCGCTCCCTGCCCACCATCAGCTCCCCGCAGGCTGCCCCAAGCACAAGGGGCAAGGATGGGGCAACCCCCTCAGCTGATTGAGATGGAAGCCCGGGCACCAGCCCCTCTTCGGAAGCTGCCCCCTCATACAGAGACCTTTACAGGGGGGCCACCACCAGCCCAAGCCGGGCACAGGCAAGGATATTTGGACTGCCCCCGGCCCCCCAGCCGCCGGGCCTTGATGTTTGGGAAGATCTCCCGGATGATCTTGCCGAAGTTGGCGGCGCTCAGCGGGCGGCAGCAGAGGTTCTCGCAGTACCGCCTGCATGGGAGAGCCAAGGGTTAATGCCAGCACCCCTCTGCCTGCACACACACACCCCACAACCCCCCCCCCGCGGATGTGGGTCCTCCCAGGACCCCAGGGTTCAAACAACCCCAAGGCACTCGCTGCCCTCCCAAGCGCCCTCCCGGCCCTGAGCTCACTTGTAGGCATCGTAGACGTCCTGCTTGGGCAGGCAGGTGTCCGTGTGCTCCTCCAGGTGATTCCGGATCCAGTTGCAGGCGTGCGTGTACTCAGCCGTGCTCAGCGAGCTCAGGTCCAGGCTGCTGCTGCTCCCATGGGAGCCCAGGACAAGCCATTAACACAGAAGCAGGACATGAAGCAGCCTCCCCCCCATCCTGTGTGATCTCCATCTCCCTTGTGAATGCTCCATCCCTGGCAGTGCTCAAGGCCAGGTTGGACAGAGCCTTGGGTGCCCTGGTTTAGTGTGAGGTGTCCCTGCCCATGGCAGGGGGGGTGGAACTGGATGATCCCAAGGTCCTTTCCAACCCAAACCGTTCTGTAATTCTATCTCTATCTCCCAGCATCATCCCGACAGCCCCTGCTCTCCTGGCCACGGCCCCAGCTCGCTCCAGCACCCACCTCTTCTCCCCCAGGCTCGGTCCCGTCGGCAGCTGGAGGTAGAGATAGAGCTTGTCATTGTCTGAGAACTTCTGGACATCTTGCTACAGGCGAAGGATCCGCAGGGAGAACGGACCAGAGACAAGGAAAGGTTAAGGATCCAAAGCAAGGAACAAGGATAACAGCCCTAACTGATGGGGCATGGAAAGCAGAGCACCTCTGTCAGCATGAGCATGGCTGCATGCGAGGGACCCGGGCAACCAAAGTCACAGGAAGGGTTTTTTTCCACACAGGGCTGGGGCAGCGGGTGCCACCCCCCAGGCAGGGTGATGAGGGACTCTCGGGGCTAATCAGGGCAGCCAGATCCTGACCCGCCGGGAAACAGGCTCCGGCAGACCCCAGGGTTCAGCTTAGCGAGCAGAGCGCGGTGGAGGCGCGTCATTCCCTCACCCTTAGCGCGATGTGCCACGGAGGCACTCACCAGGATGGAGTCCACTTTGTTCTGCACGGCTTTGCTGTGTGGGACAGAGACAAAAGGGGTTAGGGCAGAGCAGGAACACCCGGGTGCTCCTCAACCCACTGCGGCCGCTGCTTAGGGTTCCCAAGGCTGGTTCCACCATGGCCAGGCCCTTCCAGACCGCGCAGCAGTCACTGGGGACACTGGAGCACAGGAGTCAAAGCTGCCTGCACCCATGGGTGAGCACAGCCCCGTGCTCTGGCCTTCCCTGTGCACCCACAACCCCACTCTAGAGCTGTGTGCTCTACCCTAACACCAGGGAGGGCAGAGCGGGCATAAACCCGCATCCCACGGGGTCATTGCAGACCAGCGTGTGCTACTGCGGGGCTCTGAACTGATTCTGCACCCAAAGAGGCAGCGCAGCACAGGGCTGTGCTCTGTGTTCAGCGCTTAGCACGGGTCCATGCCCCTCTGCAGTGCCAATGCTCCAAGACACCACCACGCTCATCCCTTTGGTACCCCGGGGCTGCCAATTAATCAACCCTATTAAATGAACCCACATTTGGTAACACTGAGCTTGACGGGAAGAGCTGCGCAGGGAGAAGCAAGCGCTGCCCTTACGAGATGGTGCTCTTCAGCTCCTGCAGCAGGGTGCTTGACTCCGTCGTGCTGCCCCGGGAGCTGCTGGGTGACAAACTTCCCTTTCTGGCAGCTCGGGCGCCCTGCTCCTCGTCAGCCATGACATGTGGCTCCTGCTGGGGAGCGAGAACCAGGCATCCACTGACAACACCGCGAACAGAATCCCTTTGGAGTTAACTGAGCCCGCAGCAGGCTGAACCCCGGCTGCCTGCCCTGGGCCAGGCTCGGCTGCTCAGCGCAGCCCCTTCCATCCCGCTGCGGACGTGCCCAGGCTCTGCAGGCCGAGCTCCATCACCCAAACGCCCGCCACCAACGGACACGGACACGGGTGCCTCCAGCCGCAGAGGCTGTGCCCGGCTCTGGGTACCCTGCTCCCGGATGCTGGGGGGGGGCACCGGAGACCAGCCCTGTCCCAGCACACGCGGGAGTGGAGAGGGGGGGGGACACCAGCAGGGTTGGAGCGCCCCAGGCTGGGCAGTGTGGGGGGGGTGTGAACGTGTCAGCCCCATGGGTGCGAGTCTCGGGACGGGGGTGCTGGGGGTGAGAGGACCCCGCGGACCTGGGCACAAGGGGGCGGAGGGAGGCGGCGATGCCCGGGTCCGTGCGGGGTGGGGAGGCCCCGGCAGTGCCGGGGGGGGGGGGTCGGGGCCATCCCCGCACCCCCCCATCCCGCACCCACCTGCGGGCCGCCCGCTGCTGCCGCTCCCCGCCACGTGCCGCTGCCCCGCGCGCAACAGGAACCCGAAGTGCGGAGCCCCGGCGGGACGCGCCCGCGGGGAGGGGAGGGGGGGGCTTTTTTCTGATTGGCTGCGGCACCGCAGATCTGCCCGGATACTGCGCTCTCCTTTAATGCGATTGGCTGCTCTGGCTTTCCTACCCGGATACAAGCGGGGTCGGGCTCCTGAGTGGCTGAGAACGAGATGAAGTCTGCCTAGTAACAGAGTTCTGATTGGTGGGCCGGGAGGAGGCAGCGGCGAGCGTAAACGAGCCGCTGTGCGTGCACACGCTGTGCGTGCTGCGTGCGTGTGTGCGTGTAGGGTGCGCGCGTGTGGCGTGCGGCGCGCACGTGTAGCATGCAGTGCACGCATGTAGCATGCAGTGCACATATATAGCAGGCAGTGCGCGTATACAGCATGCAGTATGCACACATGTAGCAGGCAGTATGTACACATGTAGCATGCAGTGTACACATGTAGCATGCAGTATGCACACATGTAGCAAGCCGTATGTATACATGTAGCATGCAGTGCACACATGTAGCATGCAGTATGCACACGTAGCATGCACTATGTACACATGTAGCATGCCGTGTACACATGTAGCATGCAGTATGTACACATGTAGCATGCAGTGCACATATGTAGCATGCAGTGTACAAACGTAGCACGTAGCACATTATGTACTCGTGGCATGCATACAGTATATACACATGTAGCACGTAGTGCGCATATACAGCATGCAACATGTGTGCATGCAGCATGGATATGTATGCAGGGTGTTTGTGCACGCAGCATGGGCAAGTATGCAGGGGGTTTGTGCATGCAGCATGGGCACGTATGCAGGGGGGTTGTGCATGCAGCATGGGCACGTATGCAGGGGGTTTGTGCATGCAGCATGGGCACATATGCAGGGGGGTTGTGCATGCAGCATGGGCACGTATGCAGGGGGTGTGTGCACGCAGCATGGGCACGTATGCAGGGGGTGTGTGCACTGTGTGCAGGTGCCAGGCTCATGTTCTGGTTCCAGGTCACACCGGACTCAAGGCACAATGCTGCGGTCAGAGCTTGCTTTATTTCACGGTCACCAGAGGGGAGCCACCGGAGCTCCGTGTGCCTGGATGCACAGCGGTGCCTAAACCCAGATATCAGAGGTGCAGTCCCCACCCGGGTACCGGACCTCGTGCGCCAGGCAGGGCCCGTCGGGCTCCTTCCCAAAATCCACCAGGAAGCTCCGGTTGACCGTGAGGCCGCCGCGCTCTGTGTCCACGTCCAGCTGCAGCATCACGGAGCCATCCCTGCACAGCGTGAGAGCAGGAGGCTGGGGGGAGCTGCGCGGGGGGGGGACCTGCCCCTGTGTCCCCCCCATAGCTCGGACAATCACCCGTGTGCATCAGGGTTTTCTTACTCAATGAGGTCGGGGTAGAACTGCCTGTCCCAGGCGCTGTACAGGGACGTGGTGACGTAGAGCCTCTGCCCGTCCAAGCTGAGCTGGATCATCTGCGGTCCCCCCTGCACCCTCTTGCCCTGGGAGCAGACAGATGAGCTGCTGGATGGTGCAGGCCAAAGGGATGCTCCCGCCTCCCCCAGGCTGCCGCGGCCATCCCATGGGATGCACAAGGACCCGCTCCCCAGCCTCGCCATCGCTGCCCAGGCTGGGAGCGTGGGGACATGGCCGAGCTCACCTGGATGACAAACGGGTCTGGCTGGCTCTGCAGCTCTTCATCCCTGCACACGGTCACGGGTCCGCCCTTGGTGATGCTGCCACCCAAAAAGACCTGCGAGAGAGCCAAGGTCTGGGTGGCCAAGGCAGCGAGGAAGGACTGATCCCAACTGTCCCCAGCAGGCAGAGGGATGCGACCAGGAGCCTGCTGCTGCCTCACCTGCCCCACCAGCCTGGGCTTGCGGGTGTCGGAGATGTCGTACTGGCGGACGTCCCCGTGCAGCCAGTTGCTGAAATACAGGAATCTGTCGTCCAGCGAGATGAGGATGTCGGTGATGAAGCCTTGGGGAGGGTACAAGAGAGCTGCACAAGCAGGCGGCAGCCCCGGCAGTGCCCCGGGGAGCCGAGGAGCACCATGGCACCCAGCCCGGGATGCACTGACCTGGCATGTCCGGGAGGAGCCATCCCTCCACCTTTTTGCTGGGGACTTGGATCACCTTCTCGGCCGCCCAGTCTCCTTCCTGCAGGGGGTGTGGGACAGAGCACGGCCCCGGGGGCTCAGCGTGCGTGGCAGAGGCAGGATAAGACCCGACCCTGGGGTGGATTTTGCCTGCATGTGTCCACAGCCTCTACTCTCCAGGGCTGTAGAGCTGCTTTGGAGCCATCCCTGCCTCTGCAGAGCCATGGGTTCTGCAGCATCAGGAGGGGCTTTGACAGGGCCAAAACCTTGTCTCATTTCCCAGTGAGATTGGCTGGTTTGGTGAAAGAGAATCCTCTCTCTTCACCCACCTCGTCATTACGCACCACAACAGACACCAAGAACATTGCTTGGGATGTCATAAATCCACAACCAAGGTAGAAATGAATCTCCTTTCAATCAAATCATCTCAGCCAAAGCTGCAGCCACTCAATACAAGTCCTCTGGTGAGACTACCCTGGGCCAGCCCCTGGTCTGGGTGCATGGGGAAGCAGTGTGTGCCTCAGTGGGGACTGGAGCTGGGGGAGAGGACGATGGGGAATGCAGGAGGCAGGATGCTGCAGTTCTGCAGCTCCATCTACCCCGTTCCTCTAACCCTGTGGTGTCCCCAGGGAGCACCTTGGTCTTGTAGAAGCGGTGGATGGCGCTGCTGATGGTGCAGCCCACGTAGCCCTCGGCAGCATCGGGGTTGTGCAGGAAGCGGATCTCCAGCGGCGCCGCATCCTCACCCACGTCGATGGCCTGGATGTAGGTGCGAGTGGTCCAGTCCCACACGTTGAGGTGGCGTCCGTAGCGCCCTGGGAGGGGGGCACAGGGGATGCTGCCAGGTCAGCGCCTCGAGCAGCTCTGCTGCAGGTTCAGGTGAGCCTCAGCCCCTTCAGCTCCCCGCAGAGATGCCCCCTGCTCGTTGCACTGGTTGCTTTGGACATTGGCAAAAGCCACGGGAAGATGCCCAGCATCCAACAGGGACCATCTCGCTAGGACAGCGCTGGCAAGGGCAGGGAGCCTTGGCCTGAGATGGAGCTTCACCTTTCATCCCTACAGCTGAATTCCAACCCCATGTACAGCCCAGAACAGGGCTGAAATCTGGCCTTTTTGTAGCATCTCTCTCCCAGGGTTTTTAAACAACTCTTTTCTCACCTTTCTTCAGATCAGTTGGGTCAAATCCATACCCCAGGCATTTGGGGATTCCCCATTCAGTGCTGATCAGGACGTTGTGGCGTGGCTGGTACCAGAAGTCATAACCCATTGCGGGGATCTTGTCCCCTTTCTCCCAGTTCCCCTTGATCTCAAAGGTCTCTCCATCCAGCAGAATAAAGCCACCTGGTGTGAAAACAAAAGCCCATGGGCAGTGAGGAAACCATCCAGATCAGCAGTTTCCACCTTACAAAACCAGTAACAACAGACACATCAACCCCCTGCCCAATGGGCTGGGGGACCTGGGTGCAGCCTCCAGGACAGCTCTGGATGCAGGGATGGTTCCTCCTTGTCCAGACCCTCTCCCTGGGGGCCTGAGGTACCTTTCCCGCTGCCAGCCGGGTCTCCCAGGGCGCTGATCATGATCTCCCCACTGCCCAGGCAGTGGGAGGTGTGGGGGTAGCCCAGGCTGCACTTCCAGAACACGTCCTCTGGGTTGACAACCTGTGGGGGTTCACAGGCACCATCAAGTCCTCGGCCTGGGCTGTCCCAGGCCTGCCCTGGTCCCCTCCTGCACGGGGCTGGATGGAGAACTCAGTATTTGCAGACCAGCAGCAGAACAAACACCTCCCACGGCCTTCCCATCCACACACAGGGGTCTTGCAAAGCCTCTTTTCCAAGCTGTGCCCACTGATCCCAGCCCTTCCTGTGCACCGAAGGTACCTTGAAAAGGCTGGGAGCTCGCGGGTCGGTTCCCACGTCCACCACGTAGATGCGGGAGGAGATGAAGCTGGGCAGGATCAAGCGGTTGCGCTTCTTGGTGGCATCCCCGAAGCAGCTGCTGCAGGTGTTCCAGCCCGAGTGGTGCAGCTCGTCCCCCACGTTGGGCATGGGCAGGCGGTGAATCACCTGCAAAGCCCCAGCCCCGCTTGCTGCTCCTCTGCCAAGCGCAGGCTCAGAGGCAGAGCCCACCTCAGGCAAGCCTCAGCATCCCCAAGGGAGTGATGGCACATGGGGAGCCCTGAGGATGGGGTCTGGAGAGGGTTTTGGGTGTATTTTGTAAGCACAGGAAGGTTCAGGGTCTTGGGGAGGACAGGACAGGCATCAGCCTCAGTACTGAGCCAGCAGCTTTGGGGAGAGGGAAGGACAAGCACTGAGCTGCTTCCCAGGCTGAGATAAAGCACTTGGTACCTGACAGTAGTGTGGAGATTGGGGGTTGACGTCCACAGTGGCCAGGAAGTCGGGTTTCTTCCTCCCTGTGTTCCTGTAGATGCAGGGCACATACACAAGCTCCTCCCGGGGACCTTTCAGGACAGAATCGTTGTGTGAGCATCAGCAGAAACCACCTCTGGCAGAATCCAAACCTTGCAGGAGCCTCTGGTCAGCCTGGATCTCCCTCCCTTGGGGGGGGAGGCCCTTTGCTCCCCCATGTCCATGGGGCTGTTGGATACCAGAGGCATGAGGCTGAGTCAAAGGCAGAACCCCCCCAGGCCCCTGGGCCATCCCATAGTGAAAATCCCTGCCCAGCCCTGCCAACACGTGTGGCTGTTTGAAAGGCTCCTCTCTTCACTGTTGTTTCTTTGGTCCAAAGACAAGTCATGGAGAGGAATCACAGACCATGAGCAAGCTCCAGAGCCCTTTAGGGTTTCTCAGAGGTGTTTGCTAAGCCCTAGAGAATAGGATTAAGGGAGGGATGGCCAGAGATGATGCATTCAGCAGCCTCTTCGCAGCAGAGCACCAGAGTTTTGGCAATGCAGCACTACTCAGGCGTTCAGACACATAAGGAAGCAGCCCAAGAGGCTGGTTTTTAGACAAGGGTCTGTCACGCTGTGATCCCAGCCATCAGGCCAAGTGCAAGGGATGAGGATGCTCACCTCTCCCTTCCCAGGTTGAGCACCAGTGGCGGTGTTTGGGGGCGCCGTGGGGCTCTATCAATGCAATTGCCTCTGAGAAACTGAAAAACTCCATTTGGTTTGGCCCAGAGAAGCCGCAGGAGGCTCTGCTGCAGGCTATGACCCATCCCAGGCCAGCCCAAAGCCTAACCAGGTTTGTCCTGACACCAAGCTGTCATTATGCAACTGCTCTTTGGCCTCAGAACAGACCAGGAACAAAACCATGGCTTCCCTACGCTTGCTGGGAGCCTCCTCAGAGAATGGAGATAATTGATAACGCCCTCTTGAAAGCGTTGTGTTAACGCTCACTACATCACCGCAGCTCTTCCCCGCCTGCCCCGGCTTTCAGACTTGCCTTTCATGGCATCCAGAGGCGAGGCGAAGCCAGGACCACACGCTCCACACTTCTCTGCATCGGGAAGAGCAGAAACCAAGAGCAATGAGATGACAGCGGGTTCTTTTAACCCCCTTTTCCCAAAGGAACCTCAAGCTGCAGTGCCCACGCTCCATCCCACTCCGGGGCAATGGCCAAGGTGAACCGGGATGCCCGTGTGCATCCGAACGACCCCCAGAAAGGTCTGGGGCTCTGGGCAGCCAAACCTGGCAGGGACAGATTCCTAGTGCAGAGGACACAAGGCTCAGAGCAGTGTCCCTCTGCTTTGCCTCCCATCGTGTCCCTGTGGCACAGGAAAGCTCAGGACGGGCAGGGGCAGATGCCGAGAGGAGGCAGTGAGGAAGGGAGGCAGCACCAGGCTGCTGCACCGGGAGAGGAGCCCAGCAGAGCGGGGTGAGCAGGGGGATGAGCCCCAGGCTCTGCTCTGCAGCTCCTCCTGACCCTCTTCTTGGCTCGCTGGGCTTTGCCGTGCCCTGGCCTGGGGGCATTCGTGCGAAGCTTGCACACAGAAAGCCTTGTTCCCACCCAACGTGGTCAGAGCTCTCGGCATCGCTGTCCTCGCCGGCTCCTGGCATCATAGGATTATAGAATCGTAAACCAGTTAGGGTTGGAAAGGACCTTAAGATCATCCAGTTCCAGCCCCCATCATTCTGGGAATGCCTGTGATGCTGCTGTGGGTCTCCAGGTGCATCAAACCCCGCCAGCCTCACTCTCCAGAACACCTTAAAACTGCTGAAAGAGTTTTTCTTGATGCTGTTGAAGGAAGCTGTTAGGAGACAGCCACCACGAGCAGCAGGACCCTTCTCCCCCTCTACAAGGGCAAGCCTGAGGAAAGGGAGGAAAACCCCCGGCTAAACTGCACGACTCAGCTTTGCTGTGTCAGCTTCTTGCTCTATTCTGCTCTTATTCAGCACTCGTGTCGTTGCTGCTCCAGGGAAATGCTCCTACCTGAAGCAGTGAGAAACCACCCCTCCAGCTTGCTTCTCCCTTCTCCTTACATTACCCCTGCAAAAGCAGCCCCATCAAAGCCAGGCTTTACACTGGGGACTCCCTGCCGTGGTAAATCTGGCTGTAGCAAGCACAGCCTCTATGAGTTGCAGCTGAATAAACGAGGGAATAGTTTGAAGGTTTTTAATCACTGCTCTACCTAAATGTTCCCTGGCACTTTTAGGAGCTTGGGAAAAGAAACCTTTTCCTGCCCAGAGAAAACACCGCATCCACCCCCTTGTTTCTTTCCACTTTCTGGGTGTCAGAGTAATGAAACCACGAGACCCGGTTCCAAATGAGTTTAGGAGGACCCCAGAGCAGAGCCCACAGCCAAAAGGCAGCAGCAGTCCCAAGCCTTCTCTTGAGAGGAAGCTGCAGTCGATACAGAGATCTCTTACCTGTTCTGGAGGCTGGGTTGGATCCCACCTGAGCAGCAGAAGGAGCCGATCCTGCCTGCATCCTGCCTGCTCGGGGCACGTCAAGAGAGAAGATGCAACTCCGTGGGGGTTCAAATATATAGGGAGCAGGATGGGGAGAAGGAGACTTTGGGAAAAGGATGCCAAGGGGAGGATCCACACCCCCTGGGGTGTGGGAGGTACCAGGGCAGCCTTTAGCGTCTTAAAGCACTGCAAACGTGCAGGGAAGCTGCTTCATTGCTGCCAGAACCTCCTCCCCTCCCACAAGGGTAGGGGACGGAGCTGTTTCTGCACTGCACAGTGCACACACATGCCCGCACGCTGGAAAACCAAGGGCTTTTAGCCCTGGAGGGAAAGCAGGCTGCTCGTCTGCGCCGAGTCTCTGCTGGCAGCAGTGTCTCACGTTTCCCTGGGGGGCTGACAGGGTGCTCCTGATGAGGGATGGGCAAGCAGTGCACTTCCAACCACAGAACCAATGTTGTGAGGTTGCAGATGTTAATCACACCTGAAAATGAGAAATGAGGACTGGGTTTCTTCTAATTGCAGGCTCTGTGTTTACTGTGGGATTTTAATTTGCAGCTGTGAGGAGGGCAGAAGCCAGATAACAGTTTTTCCCATGACACATCTGACTTAGTCAGGGCCTGCTACTGCTTCTGGCTGCAAAGCCAGGCGTCAGCTGCCTTGCCTTGTAAGGGCTGAGCAGTGGATGCTCGGCCTCCTCAGGCACATCCTTGCTGGGAGGTTGCTCCAGTGCTTGCCCCAGATGCAGGCTCCCAAACCAGCAAGCTCCAATGGTCAGGCACTGCTGTCAGTGTCCCTGGACATTGCCAGCACAGAGACCGAGGGCCTTGGCTCTCCCACCCTCACCTGCCTGGGCTCGAATGCTTGGATGTGATGTAGGAGAACACTGCAGGAGACAGCATCATCCTCCATGGAAACACCTCTGGTGCAGTTCAACAAGGGGGGAGCTGCTTCCCTTAGGGGTAAGGGTGATGCCATCACCCTCTGTCCCAGTGGAGCTGCTGTTGGCAACTGCAAAGAACCTGATGGGTGCTGGCACCAGGGAGAAGTTTCTTCCATGTAAGCACTGGAAGGAACAGAAGGAGCATCCAGCGTCAGCCACCCCAATGGTCCACATCCCCCAGGATAACCTGTGCACAAGGGTGAGGAAAGGCCCACACTTCCTGAAACATGGAAATCAGGACCCAAAGACCTGGGAACAGCCCTCAGAGGGGATGAAAGGGTTTGCTCGTACCAGGAGCAAGATGTCCACATCCATCCAGCTTGGGCAGAGCGTGGCTTGATGATGGAACGAGGAGCTGGGTCACCTCTGTTGCGTTGTCTGTTGGTGTTCATGGTGCAGCCCAGAGCCCAGGCTAAGTCCTTGCCTTGCTGTGCAACCTGAAAGGCAGAGATGGTGCTCAGTGGTGTGAGGGGGAGCAGGCTCTGATCACCCCCAGAAACACGGCCATGCACTAAGGGTGCTCTTCCCTGCACTAATGTGATGGTGCTTGCTCCCATCACAAGGAGGGGTTTCCAGAGTGGATTCAGCTGTTTCCAGCCATCTGGAACATACATTGGCATAAGGATGTCTGATGGCCAGACTCTCCTTCCAGACAACAGAGAAGAAGAGGAGTCACCTCTACTGAGATACGTGCTTTATAGGGTCTCTCAACAGCAAGGACATCCCCTGAGAAGGCCCTCAAACAAGGCAGGTCTGGAGCATCAGAATGGGGTGTCCTGAAACTTGGGGCCTCATTAAATGTCATTCTCTGCAGCGAGGGAGAAGAGCCCCCCAAGGGGGAACTGTCCTCCAGAAGGGATTGTTTCTCTCCTGGGACCATTAAGGGTGCACAAGAGAGCTGCAGCAGTTTGACCATGGGAAGTGTGAAGCAAGAGAGGACCTTTTCCTCCAAAGTAATTATGTGAAAGGCTACTAGTGACGAGGATTCACATGCTATCCACTGGGTATTTTGTGTTTCAGGAGGACAGCAGGCACTTTTGACCAGCAACACCACATGTCATCAGAATCTCTACCATTACATCATCATTACATCATCGTTATCAGTACATCGTCATTAACCACTGCTGAAAACAATATAGAAATGCTTCAAGGAAATAAAACCAAGATGTAGGTGATGCAAAGAACAGTTTTATTTGTGCTTAAAGCAGAACACAAGAGAAAACCAGTGTCAGGAAACAGGCACCTCTTCCCAAACTGAAGCACTCGGTGCTCCTCCAGCCGTGACACACGGACCCGAGCACGTGCAAGGAGCCAGGAGGGCTCTCGTGCAGGGGAAGACTGTCCAGGAAGGACCTGGCTCAAGAACAGGAGCTCAGACAAACTGGGCACTTCACTTGCTTTTGCCTCAGCTACCAAGGGTGAGCAAGCTCTGAAACAGAACTGAGAGCTCAGCACCTTGCCACCGGCCCCAGGACACAGAGCAGTAGCCACCAGGCTGGGACATCAAGGCAGGGCCCCAGAGGCCTGCAGCAATGAAGCAGGGCACGGTGGAGATGTGGTATCTGCCCAAAGGCACCGTGTGTACTGCACATCCCTGTGTGTGAGCAGCTCCCTGGGCTCTGCTCTGTGACTCATGCCCAGGGCCTGCTTTGCACGGAGAGCACTGAGAACATGCCATGTGTCTGCTCACTGGTCTGCCTGAACCAAAGCCTCGCAGCGGGGCAGAGCTTGCACAGCTCGCGTTAGCACAAATCTAGACTCCAGCAATGAATGGGGACCCCAACCCAGTTACCCTAAGCTCTATCTTAATGGATGCACTATGGAGGAGAGGGAAGAAGGAAGTCTTTCCTACAGCGCCTAAGCCACGATCTCAGAGGTGGAATCTCCACAAGGGAAGTGGATGTCTTTGGCAAGGCAGGGCCCATTGGGTTCCTTTCCAAAATCCACCAGGAAGTTCTTGTTCACGCACAGGCCTCCCTTCTCAGTGTCCACATCAATCTGCAGCATGACAGAGCCTTCCCTGTGAGTGAACAAGAGCGCAGCCATCACACACAGGCAAACCCCAACCAGGCTGAAACGTTTCTGCTCTCCCCAGCTAAAGCCTGGCTCTGCAGCTCCACACAGGCAGCGGCTGCTCCGTGCCCAGCCAGAGACCTTTGAGAGTGAATTGCATGGGGAAGTCAACAGGAGGAAGCTGTGGGATGATGTGAGGAAAATCTGTCCCCCTGCAATCACCCACGTAGCCCTGGAGTCCCCCACATGAGGAACCTTCCCCGTTCCTAACACCGAGGCCGTGCAAAAAAGGCCCCTGGCTGCCCCATCAGTTCTTACTTGACCAGGTTCGGGTAGAACTGCTTGTCCCATGTGCTGTAGAAGGAGTTGGTGACGTACAGCCTCTTGCCATCCAAGCTGAGCTGCAGCCTACTCGGGCCGCCATACACTCTCTTGCACTGAAGGAACAACACACAGCAGGGATGTCACTGCTCCTTGCTCTGCCCAGCCAAGCACAAGCAGGGGCAGAAACCCTGGACAGAGAAGTAGCAGAGCAGGGCCCAAGTGCAAAGGACACCCCAGGGCAAAGAGGGTGCAGAACTCACCTTGACCACCAAGGGCTCAGGCTGGCACTTCAGCTCCTCATCTCTGCACACAGTCACGGGTCCACCTCTGAGGATGCTGCCTCCCACAAACACCTGTAAGCGAGGCAGGAGGAGAAATGTTATCTGGTCATGCACCCACCACCAGACTCTGCTAAGGAAGACACCAGTGCAAGCCCTTCTGCCCCTGCCTTACCTGTCCTACCAGCCTGGGCTTGCAGTTCCTGGACAGCTCGTATTGGCGGATGTCTCCGTGCAGCCAGTTGCTGAGATACAGGTACTTGTCATCCCTCGAGATGACCAGGTCGACTGTGAAAGCTGGGGCACAGAAACAAAGAGTTCCAGAGAAGGCAGCATCAACAGAAACACACCCTGCATCGAGCCCCAGCTCTCATCTCACCACCTGAGGGGACACAAACCTGGCATCTTGCACATAATCCATCCTGCCACCTCCTTAGGTGGAATCCGGATCACCTCCTCCACTGCCCAGTTGTCTCTCTGCACAAGAAACGCAGGCACCATGAGTGCTCCTGCTGCCCACACAGAGCAAAGCTGCCTGGGGAGGGCTCCCACTGCACGCAGCTACTACCCAAGCACTTGCCTCACACTTGTAGAAGCGGTAGACGATGCCGCTCAGGGCACAGCTGACGTATCCCTCGGCAGCATCGGGGTTGTGCAGGAATTTAACACTCAGGGGCAGAGAATCCTCGCCCAGGTCAAAGCACTGCGTGATGGTGCGGCAGGACAAGTCCCACACGTTGAGGCGGCGTCCATAGACCCCTGAGGAAAAGGAAAACTGAGTCAGAAGAGGGGGGTTCCGACAGGCACGAGCCCCTTCCCAGGGACAGCCACGGCAGCAGGAAGCCAGGAGCAGCAGGGAAGCTGCTGTGAAGTAGGAGCAGTGAGAGCAGACAGGGACCAGCCTGACTTAAGGGCAGATGCTGCACATCCTCTACCAGTGCCTTTCAATGGGCTGTGTGGAGAGAAACCTGTGCCCCTCTCCAGCTCTGGCAGCCTCTCTGATGGCATCCACACCCTCCCACCGCCAGGGGCACTGGCTCAGCACTTCCACCCCTATTCCCTCACCTTTCTTCAGGTCGTCAGGATTAAAGCCGTATCCTGCACGTTTGAGCTCAAATCCAGCAGTGCTGATCAGAACATTGTGGCGGGGCTGGAACCAGAACTCGTATCCGCTCGGGGGGGATGCGCACTCGTTTTCCCAGTTCCCCTTCAGCTCAAAGTTCTGCCCATCCAGCAAGACAAATCCACCTGGCAGACACAAAGGGGATGCATGGAAAAGATCCCATACTCCACTTCCAAACCTGCCACTGGCTCAGGGAGCTCCTCCAGGGCAAAGTACCTTTGGCGTTGCCAGCTGGATCTCCCACGTTAGCAATCAGAACGTCACCGTTGGGCAGGCTGCGAGGCACGTTGAGGTACCCCTTGTTGCACTTCCAGAAGACATCCACTGGCTCAATCATCTGTGAAGAGTTCACACACACACACACACACACTTCAGCTTCTGACTGCTCAGCTCAATGCACATATAAGGCTCTGAGCTCCCCTCTATGCAAACAAGAATCCAGCAGCACCTATCTCACTATAACAGCTTGTCTGTCTGCACTGTGCCTTCCAGTTATTAGACTCTCTCTGAAGGCAACAGGCACAGAAAGGAACGCAACGATGAGATCCCCCCTTGCCC